GCCGTGCCTTGCACAAAAAGAAGCAGATGGAGGAAAGAGAACGATCTCGTCGGCGCTTAAGAGGTGATATTGCAGAGCAACGCACAATTGTGGATAGCTCACGCGAGCTACTTTTGCAGCTCTGTAAGGCCAACTCACCAGCAGCATTGTCGCGCTATGAAGCTGCAGCTGACAAATATGCAGCTTTTTGTTCGTGGGTCAAAGCAAACGGCATCTGGAAGCTTGATCGCAAGTCCAAATTGGCACTCGAAATCCCCAACCGTCTGCAAGATATTGAGGCAACACTGTTCGAATTGCACACGCAAAACCAAGACGCCGACATCGCCAAATTGTTGAGTTTATGCGCAACCTCCCCCAAAGCGAACCTTTTGCTTGCCATTGAGAAGCAGAAGAGGTCAAGTTGTGGCCCCACCAGCTGGGGTGCTAGCGACTCGCACCTGTGGACGTCATTCCTGGCGAAAACGGCGGAGGTATTGGTCGAGCTGCAGGTGAAGTGGTGGACTGCCGTCGAGAATGGACTGGAAGCGGTGCAGTTGGCCGGTCTTGAAGCTTTGAACCGCGAGCAGAAGCAAAGTGCGTCTGATTTTGACAGTAGCACCAAAGAGATCGTACGACAGCAATTCGATGGTCTCCGTGAAAAGCTCCTGGAAAAAAGTGGATTACTGTTGAAAGTAAGTGCAAAAGCTCGTAAGGGGTCTATATTGTGCAGCGGAACGAGGGAAATTAAAGCTTCGGCCACCCAGTTCCACGATGTCATCAAAGTACAACTGAACCGTGGCGTGGTGGACGATTGTCTACAGACAGAGCGCTTGGGCCACAATGTACTTAATGCGTACGAGACTCACATTGCGATGTTCACGATCAAGAACCGGTCGGTCATACAAATAAGCACGGGAAATGAACGAACGTACGTCAACTTGGTGCACTTTCCAGCTAATGCCGATGGGCCTTCTTCACGCGCGAGTGAAATGGTCATCTCCACGTTTGGGAAGGTGCCCTCGCTTTGCGACTTCAATTATCAGAGTCGAAGCATGGTCTTCCTGTCGGCAGATTCAGTCGGGATCTACAAATTCGACGAGACATTCAAGCGAATGGACTGCGTGAAAGTTGTTGATTTGGGTGTGCACTCGACGTTGACGGCTCCATTCAACGATATGCTCCTCCTGGGCAGAACAGTTTACGTAACAGAGCCTACAAGGTGTCGACATCAATTGTGACCAAACTTCGATTACCGGAGCCTTACCCAGTGATACTGATACTTCGCGCAGCCGTCTTATGGGGTTCTCGGATGATCTTGCTATCGGGGCTGTTTTGGTCACAGCGTGCGCGGATGGATCTTTTCAGGGAAAACTGTCGTGCGTTGCTCTTGATGCCTATCGCCAGCTACCTGTTGCGCCACTAGGAGACACTTTTCTGACGAACGAAGTGCAAGCAGAGTGTGTGAACGGACATGTTTTTGTTTTCGATCCATTAGCAAGAAAGCTGCACGCATTTTCCGTTGACGTGACTGTCCGTAGCGATTCCTACAGCATGCGGCAGTTCGATGACGATGACGACACCAAGGCCTCTGGAAAGGATGCTAGCGGCGAGAAGTGTCTGCGCAAGGAGCACTGGATGTACACGTTTTATCACGTTTTCGAGAAGTTCCCAGTGATTGGGCTGCTGGAAGATGGTTCCCCGCCACCTCTTTCTGTTCTTGTGTGTTGCCAGTCCTGTGACGACGTCAATGGTGCTCTAGAAGGTTGTCACGATTTTCTGTCACTGTTGATGAGCGACTTGATGGCTGTCAACAAACCGTTGCGAGGGCTGGATCTTACGAGAGGGCTTGGCATGCGGTGTACCCCTTTACTGGGTCTGAATATGAGTGAAAAATCCATGGTGGCATTCCTCCAGACGCTCGTTACTTTTCTTCCTATTCAAATCTGTCGCGCTGAGGCAAACGCGCTGACAGTGCTACGAGATGGATTGGACCCATCTTTCGATGTAGCCGAAGTGGAGCAGGAGTCAGCGGATATTGCTGAATCAACTCGATTTGGGCTTTTGTCGCCGCTTTTGTCGGCGTGGGAAGGTCGCGTCGTCGTCATCACGTCCATGGGAAAGCAGTCGACCGGGAAAAGCTACTTCCTCAATCACTTAACGGGGTCCTCGTTTGCCATCGCTGGAAATCGTTGCACTGACGGTGCGTGGATGACACTACGCATCATGAAAGATGTTTTGCTTGTCGTTCTGGATTTCGAAGGTCTGGGGTCCTTCGAGCGAACAGATCAAGAAGATGTTTTTCTTGCGGTGCTGAATGCGTCGCTGTCGATGTTCACGATATTCCGGATGGAAATGCGGCTTGACAAAGAAATTGACAAGCTTTTCACCAAGTTTCAAAAGGGAATGGATCTACTCAAGCAAGACAAGCGACTGTTCCGAGGAATATTCTACATGAGTGTGAAGGACATTAACCCGAATGATGGCCGAGATGTCCTCTCGGAGTTTACGGGGAAAATCAGGAACCTGCTCAAAGCCACGTCGGGGCAAAACTTCCTAACGAACATGTATTCCGGTAAAGTGAGTATTAGTTGCTCCCCTCCGTTAGGGACTCCTGGCTACTACGAGTCGCTACTTCACGCGAAGAAGTTGGTCAAGAAAGTTATTACGCAGCAGGGCGAAGCGGAGCATGGGTTTCGAAGCGGGAGAGCCTTCCACGACTTTATCCGACTGGTATTGGCCAAAATGTCGATCTTGGATTGGACCACTGTTGAAGAAACCGCGCAACAACTTCAGATGAAGGAGCTTCACCGAAATCTGCCTGGTATCATTCGCACAGGAATTCTGCCGGATTCAAAGAACGAGCGTGCTGCTGGAATGCTTTCTTTCGAAGATCTATGCCATGACTACCCCGAGTTTGCTGAATCTTGGAAGCGTTTGAACCTCCAGTTCTCACTAGCAGCGATTGACGAGAATTTAGATTTTGGACCATCAGTCTGCGCTGAAACAGCGGACACAGGGTCTATCTACGATGCCATCACGATGCTGTTTCAACACTATTTGGAGCTGATATTGAAGGGAGCAGAAGAAAAAATCACCACGGCAGACTACACCAATTTCGACGCCATGCTGTCTTTTTTGGTTTGCCGTCGTAAATCGAAGGCTGTTGTCTGGGTGAAGGAATTCCTGGGACCTGAGCGATTTGCGGATGATTGGGATAACATCGAGCGAGCTCGACTTCTCCCGTTCGAGACGCGTTTTAAGAGGTGTGGTCATGGGTGCGCGCAGTGCCAACTCCAGTGTATGCGCCCAGCTTGCCACTCCCCAGGTGAGGAGAAGCACAACTGTGGTATGACTCATGTGTGTCGCAGCTATTGTGAGTACTGTGTGCAGAGCTACCAGCACCGTGAACAGGTTCCTCGCTGTACCGGTAAGGCTGGCCACGAAGGAACGTGCGACTGCGGAAAGGGAGACCACACTTGCGGGTTTGTATGCAGTCTCGCGGATGCTTCGAACTGCGAAATTGTTTGCGTGCAGATGGCGGGGCATGACGGAAATCATCGCTGCTCCGTCAAGCAGCACATTTGCGGTATTTTGTGCAGTGCGCCAAATTGTGAAGGGGTGTGCGTGTTGAACGGAGAGCGGCTTCACACTGTGCACAAGTGTGTGGAGACGCAGTGCGCCTATGCGTGCGAGATGGGAAGCTGTGAGGAGCGTTGCGATTCCGCAAACCATTTTCATGGAAATCCTGGATTAAGTGCAACACTTGCCCAAGAACAAGGAGGCTTGCTTGGGTATTACACGGGCAGCAGTGAAAATGCGCGGCATATGTGTGCTTCAAGCCACGTATGCAGTAAAGTTTGTGAGGCGAATGGCATATGCAGCAAAAGCGTCCGAGTCTCCACGCGTCAGTTCAGCGGTTCGTTCGACAATTTCGAGTATGGATCGAAGCGGATGGTTGGAACACGCAACCAGTGCGCCATCATATTGGAGCCCGGACAAACAAGCCACGGCGGTATGCACTCGTGTGCCAAGAAGTTGTGGGATGGGAGGGTAGCCCCTCATGGATGCGCCGCGAGATGCGTGGCCTGTGAGTATTACTGCGCCAAACCGTTCGGACACCACGGACTGCACTCTGCTGCACACGGCAACATGCGCAAGATGCGCTTTGTTGCTAAGCAGAGCACCATCAGCTGGGACAGCCGCAAGTACGCCGCAGGCGAGAAGGGTAGCGCCGAAATGTGCAATTTGTACTGCTCTACAGCCGGACGAGGACACGTCCACTACCTCAAGTGCTACCAGAGTGCTGATGCGTGTGTCTACTCGGCTTTGGGGGATCACCGACGCCACTGCGAAACTGCGTTGATTCCAGCCCCAGACCACGAGGTTGATGAAGTGTTGCATGCTGAGTACTGGAGAACGATCGGGTGGGAAGACCCTTGTTCGTCCCCTGCAGAGCGCGCGCTGTTCACTAAGTGTCCGTACTTATGCAATGCACCGGACCACAAAGGGCGTGAGAAAGAACCTTCCGGCTGTGATCTCCCTGTCTGGCATCTACCTGCTGCATCCGTTCCCTTCCTGGAGCGAGATGGTGTCACGTACATCAACGGCCATCGTTTTACGTGCTCGCATGCCGCCTCCGCTGGTATATTGCACCACGTTTTCGTCTTGGACTGCTCGGGGTCGATGAAAGGCGGTCCGTGGCAAGCGTTGGTGAGAGGAGTCCGGGACTATTTGCGAGGTCGCATGTCGTGCGGCTGTCGTCAAGATATCGTCTCGGTAATTACCTTTGGGGATAAGGGCACTCTCGAGTATGAAAAAGTCAAGATTGAGCAGGCTGCAACGCGATACGTGAACTTCCGTGGTGGTGGGACGTACTATGAGAAGGGCTTGAAACAAGCGAACGCCGTGCTCTCACGGAATCCGATGAAAAAGTACCAGCCTGTACTCATCTTCTTCACGGACGGTCGACCTGCTGACCGTAAGCAAGGGCTGAAGCTAGCGACGAGCATGCGGCAGCAGTACGCGGTGTCGGGCTTGCGAGCTTTTGTGGTTGGGTATGGACGTGTCAGCGATCTGGGCGTCACAGATCTCGCCGAGCACCTTGGCGGGACAGTGCACGAAGCCATTTCAATTGACGATCTCGGGGACACGTTCCGCTCGATCTCCATGTCACTTGGGGCCCGTGCAGGGCTCATTTCCAGCAACTTTGCGTGAAGTAACGAGCAAAAAGGCGTCAGCATGTGAGGATAAGGCTCGGCGATGATGAAGCACGTGAAGCGACGACTTGAAAAGGCTGTAAGGGGAAGAAAGAAAGAAAACTAAGAAGGAATGACAAAGGCAGCTTTTGACGATTTTGAAGGAAGATACATTTTTGTACTTGGCACCAGCTAACTAGCCAATTCATAGTCTTACATGAAAAGAAGTCAAAGTGGAGTTTCCTCGACAAATAGGTTTTCGCACTACTTTTGAGTTTATTGCTCAATTTCTTCATTGCGGCTGATGAGTGGTGACGCAATTGCATGTTCGGCTGCTGGGGGCGAGTTGCGCCGCCAGCACCCGGAATTGTCTGCCGACTCAATTGCATTCGGCAGGGCGGTACTGTTGAGGGTATTGAAACTCACATGCCACTCCAGCGGGTCGGTCGCCAGCATGATGTGAAGCAGGGGGGCGAACGCCTCGAAGCAGCTGTGGGGCGTCTTCAGAGCTTTGAACATCAAATCAATGTTGGCAGGAAGCTCATCGCTCTCCTTGTCCGCAATGTGGACGCCCTTAGCTTCACCAACGTTCGGTACATCTTTGTGGCCGCTGCGCAGGAGATGGTCTTGCTTCTCCGGAGCCTTGCTGTTCTGGCGTGTGACTTTACGTCGTAGGGACGATAAAGGAATCCGATCCGAGTTGGGAGGAGGGTCACCCGCTTCCTTCCCAGCGACTTCCTTGGCAACAGGGAGGTTCGCTTGCGCAGCTGGTTGTCTCTGGGTCTGGATCGCTTGGACGGCTCCCAGTAGAGCTGCTCCCCAGTGCTCTTCCATGTCAGTTCTCGAGCAAGACGCAATGTGTTGCTTCTTTAGGTGTTTGTACGCACCCTCACACAAATTGAGAGCGAGACGAGTGAATAGGTGCCCCTGCAGCACTTGAACAAACGCCTCGGAGCTCAGAGAAAGCAGATCACAGGCCCGTACGGTCCGTACAGTATAAGCGCTGATGGTGCACCCCAGCAAACCACGCTCTCCGAAGTAGCTGCCACTACGGAGCCCAACCGGTCGATCCAGGAGAGAGCGGCTGTGCATGCTCAAGTGGCCTTTGATCACGAAATACATGGCTCGCACGATACTTCCTTCCGTGACAACACTCTCATCGCGTGGGTAGCACTCGAAGCGCAAGCGTTCAGCAAGAGCGCGCGTGAACTCGTCCATCCTCTGGCTTTCTTCCCAGCAAACAGGGGCGATGACCTTCATGATGAACCACGATAGGTGCATTGTGGACACTTGAAGCACGCACGACGTACGGATAGCGATGTGGAACGCGTAGAGCGTTGCAGTCTCAGGCTCGGGGCAGTAAGCTTTCTTGACGAAAGTCACCATCGCGAAGAAAAGTCCCCGCAATAGACGAAGCGCGAGCTGAGAGGAGGACGGATTCTGAGGGTCCGAGACAACCAGATCCTGGGACGGAAGCTACCCTTCCCACTCTGCTCCGAAGCCTGCGTCCATCGACACTGCCAGATACGCACACGCCACCCAGTAGATGACCAACAAATACCCCATCCAGACGTGCCAAAAGCTGGTTGTCTCGTTGGAAATGCTACGTCGGTTTAGCTCGTTGAAGTAGCTGCCGAGGTTGAAAATCTTGATGCAACGTAGCAATTTGAACCACGCACTGCAGCCCAGTACTGCCAGCACATCGTAGAACGGAATGGCGGCGAGGATATCCCAGAGCATCCGCTCCTTCCTGTACACGCTCCGCAGCTTTTGGTCATACAGTTCCATTGACGCCTGGGACTCACGCACGTGCCAGCTAAACCAAAGATCCACGACGAAAGCGACTTCGCAAAGGATCCCTATGATAATTACGAGAACGGGGACGACCGCTGTGCGATCCATAGCGTCTATCGTGAGCTGGTAGGGGGTCATAACGGCGACAAACATGGTGCAGCAAATGATGAACCGCAGCCAAAAGTGGTGGAACTTGCTCTGCACTGGAACCCCGTGAAGAAACCCATCGACCAACCGAAGAAGAGGCTTCTGAACCTGCTGGTCTACCAAACCCACCGACGTCGGAACTGGGAGGATCCGACTGCTGCTCCCAGTGTTGCTACGCTGCAAACGGGTGTGATATCGCGCTCCTTTCAACCCCTCGGCTCGCTCATTCACAATGTCCGAACGTGACAAAGCTCGCTCACCACCTATCAGCATCCCACGGCGTTGCTCATCGCGCGAAAGCTGCTCCAGTCGCGCCTGCTCACGGTGAATATTCGCGATTTGAATGACCTTCTCCTTCCACTTGGGGTAGCGCTCGAATACTAGCTCCAGCGATTCGCGCGACAGTCTCTACAGGATGCACGACGTCCGAGCCTGGATGTAGGCGTCCCGTTCCCCATTCGTGAATAATCCGTTCTCAGCAAAATATCTGCCAGCGGATATCTCGTTCATCTTCTTCAGTTGGCCTGGAATACTGATCTGCTGCAAGCTGTTATCGATATCCTCCGGTGTCGGTCCAGCCTGGGAGGACGCGTTCTCCTTGCTTGCTACAGTGTCTGCTACAGCTCTGAACGTGGGTCTGGAACGTTTGGCTAGCTGCATGGGCAGCAGAACGTCGAGGATGCCCGTGAATACGAAGAACATGTCGCTGCCGCAGTCCCCGAACCTGAAAACAAACTCGCCACGAGAAACCAGCACCTGCGTGAACTGGGACACCAGCATTCGCGTGATGGATATCTCCATTCCCGCGAGGAAATCCACTTTCTCGATCATGGGCTTTAGGTATACAAGGCGGATATCCGTCAGCAAGGACGGTGGCAAACACTCTCCGAGCAGATGCTCCTGGGTGATCGTGTGGTACCTTTTAAACAACAAGAAGGTCTTGACCCGCTCCTGGAGGATAGTCGGGATCTTGAAATGGTCTAGCATTTGTCGTGCTGCCCCCATTTTGACATCGAATTCTCTGCTCTCGGAGCTTGTGAGCTCGATAATATCGGTAAAATTACCAATCACGTACGCAAACAGGAAAACGCCCGCGGTCATGGTCACAACGCTGAAAATGCATTGGGCCGTGGTCTGTGGGTACTCGGACTCGCCTGAAGACGACATGAGACCGAACGACCAATAGAGAGACGCCATGTACTGGAGCATGAGCGACCCATTCTCCAGCTTCTTGGATGGCAGCCACAGGTTCTCACCGAATGCCGTCTGGGTGGCGGTCGGGGCTGAGCTGTCGCTGAATTTGGGGGTGGCTACTCCCGACGCAAAGTTGAACCAGATGCAGCCCAGAATGTGCGAGAGCATGCACGTGTAGTAGAGCAGTTTGAACAGATGCAGCTCCGTCGTTCGCTTAAGGTACCGCGTCTCGAGTGCGTGAAGTTGCTTGGGAACTTTGAACAATCGCAGAAGTTTGTTGACGTTCAGGAGGTCCCATCGCTGGTACGACTCTATGCCCCAATTCACAGCATAAAGCGGCAATAGCGCGATGATATCCAAAGCGAAAGCCCCCGATCGGAAGTACTGGTGCTTGATGCGGTGGATATCCATGATTTTATTCCCGTCTCGTAGAACCCAAGTCGTGAGCGAATGAAAACGTCCAGGAGAAACGAACACTCTAAGAAGGCCATGAGTGAGTCCACCTTATTATGTCCTTCCTCCAGAGGGAAGCACGACTGGAACATCACTAGCACCCACTGCGTCGTCATCACCATGAACAGCCACGTTTCCCACGCCAAAGTAAACAGTGAATCTGGATCGTACACAGTAGTGAATACGCTTGCTAGGGCCAACTGCACCCTGTGGAGCATGCTCCTGACTTGGTTATATTCCTCTCTGTCGGTTTGCACGTGCAAACTCGCGAGTTCGCTGCTCATCAGCCTCCGATCAACAGTGAGAAGTTCAGTCTTTAATGGTAGGAAAATCGCCTCCATAGCTCGCAGTTGGTCGCGAGACACAAGAGAAGGATACAGCCGCTGTTGGCGCTCAGGACTGCATGCGCCTAATACTGGACGGCAAGGAGCGCGTGTTTTCGCAGTTTCCCAATGGAATGGCGTCGAGTATCAGCGCAGGATCAAACGGAGACTACATCGCCGAGATGCGCGTGGATCAGTCCGGACGACTCGTTGTGTACCTGCAGATCTTCACTTGGTCAAAGGACGGTCCATCCTACCACCTACGCTTGCAAATAGGGTGCTGGCGCAGTCAGCGACTGTGCGTGAGCGGCGACGTGCTGGTAACGAGCGCGCCTGCCTCGTTCACATCGGACGGCGCACAGTATCTGGGCGAGATGTCACTACGAGAGAAGCGCGAGGCCGTGGAGAAAGCTTTCTCGCAGCGGCTTCGCGACAACCGCGAGGCGGCGAGGGCCTCGTCAGCAACGTGGGAAGAATTTGGCAGGTTCCGCGTGAGTTACGTCAAGGAATGATAGCCAGACATGTCGTGGTAATCTGTAGCTAATTGAGGGAGATTACTAAATAGGCAAGAAACATTAGAAAACTTTAACCCAGTGATGGTGCTCACCACTAAAAGCTAGCAACGTATTCACCCCGGCAACCCAAAATTCAGTTTGTTTATTTTTTCCTCCCCACAGATGCGGTTTAGATACGCTGCATAGTGTTACCATCCAGACATTCAGCAAGAAAACAAAACTATAGACACAGTTGTTTGCTTGTTTTTTAGTGCAGAAGTACGGCTTCGAGCAAAAAATAACAAAAAATTAAGTATTCAACGTGTTCTCATTAATTGACATCGAGACCCAAAGCTTGTACCACGAACAAACAATCCAGTTCACACATCAAGGACCTGTGTGATCATGTAGCACTTTCCAGTGAACGAAGTGTAGGAGCCCACTCTTCAGATGATAGTTAACAGCCTTTAGTAGTCGTTAGCCGCTAGGTAAGTGACAACACTGATCTTCTATCCAAACACAAAAGCCTACATTTATACCCCAGCCCACGTTTGTTTTGTGTGAGAATGCATCTTTCACGATCGATAATGGGGTCGGAAACCCCATTTGCTACGCCACAGCAGTTGCTCGCCCTCGCAGTATCGCCGTTGTGGCCGCAGATGACGCTACCGGCGCAGTAGTGAGCTTCAAAATGGTCTTGGAATCCCCTCAGAAATTCATACCAACGATACAGCCCACCAGCGTACACTCCGACCGCCATCCACTCACCGATCGGCCCACGTTCGACGCCACAACCGATGCAACACAGTATCTTGCGCGTTAATCGCGGGTTGGTGGCGAGTCAATCGGCAGCCAGGACGAATAGGACCCACCTAGCCAGGAATCCAGGACGAGATGCTCCCTAGGAAACCAAATCCACCTGTCCACCGCGTGGTTACTCATTGCGGACACACAGTACGCACGGAGCTCGATCTATCTTCCCACAAAGACGACCCACGATAAGCATTGCTGCGAGAAACGCGCTCGCCTCTCGCCACAAACTTTATAGCTAACTACAGCACTTGACGGCATAGATGCCGGCGAAAATGCCCGTGCTTCACTTCACTATCATTTGATGTCGCCAGACGAAGCAGATTCATCGATCCAATTTACATTTCAACGATTTGTAAATTTTGTAGCGCCGTCCACGATCGGGAGACGCAACATGTGCAACCACAAAGCTCGAGATATTTTCCTCCATCACTTCGAAAACGCTTCCTTGATTCTACACAGCGTTGTGGGTAAACGTGAAATGGACGGAGAGCACCGGAAGCCAGCACCGCCCGATAGCCACCACCTCCAGGCCGCCACCACCCGCTCCGCTCAGCATCTGCCCGGCTCATCGGTGCCGCTTGAGCCCAAAAGCCTATCAACGACGTCAATTATTAACGAGCTCTGCACGACTTCGAGATGAGGACATGATTCTTCAGATCTCACAATGACGAGCACGTGTCTTTGGACGCGCGGTTATTAAGGGGTGGTTCGAGCGGAGGAGCACAACTGAACCCAGCACAACAAGCTCGCACCGTCCGTTTATGATGAGGTCCTGCCAATTCATTGACCCTCAGCAGGTTCAGGCCGCGCATCAAAAGCTACGCACACACACATAGCTACATGTAAGAGTTAGCCGCCGTATCGTACGCGACAGGGCCCCTTCGCCGGTATCGACGCTTAATGGCAGGGAGACTGTACACATCACGGGGGTACGTACCAAGACGAGAGGGAAAGCTGTAAGAAGATGGGGGTAATGCTCGATGTTTCAACGGTAATAGGAGAGCACCGAGCTCCTATTCCCGATGGCACCCACTCCACCGTCTGTTGCTCCAGATCCGCAGCCTTGCACAAGCCGCCCGATCTCAAAACTCTCTGAGCAGATGACACGATCGATTGACGGCACTCTTGGCTACCGGTGGCCCACCCACACACGTGTTGCTATCGAGTTCTTCCTTCGTCTCAGACTTTGAGTCGTAGCCAACACGTACGCTCACTTCTACTGTACGATAGCTCCTGCATGCACAGGCGTGTATCATTTCTACTGTACGCGCGAACTCCGTTGTCACGATAATAAGGTAGCGTTTCGAACCAATTCTCTCGATACTCGAGCTGCCCGCCGTCGCGGCATCGCTACAACCCGTAGTGCAGTTTTGAATTGACTGTGAACCATCATACGAACGAAAAAGCCACCCACCGTAAGCAGTTGATTTAATCTGCGTTCTAGACATTGCCGACCAATTGCTGCTTGATCTGCACCAGAGACGACACAACCAACGACCCAGCAGGCGTCAAAGGTTAGCTCTTGACAGCTTGAATCTGCAATCGCGTCTAATACGATCTCCCCATCCAGGAATCCACGACACCACCACAAGCTGCTGAGCTAGACGTCTGTGTTCTAAATTGCTCTGCGCTTCACTTCCCTATCGATTCACCAAGTCGATTTCCATTTCAAAGATCCGTGAAATGATATAGTACCGTCCACAATTAAGGGACACAAATATACACAAGATTTGCAGCTTTGAATCGTAGACGCAAACTTCAACCTCGGTTCCTTCACAATCGCGACGCGCATCACCCAAAGGCGCGGAATATTCTGGCGGTGCAACGTTGCTGCGCCTGATGGACGAGTACCAGTTCTCAAAGGAACTGTTGCTATTGCTCCACGCCACACAGGTACAATGCCATACAACACCCAGATAATATGTGGGTGTCATCAATGCATTCGAGGTTGATGTTACTTGCTTCCATCCACGCTTGCATGCATTTCGCATCGACCTTAAGAGAGTCCAAGAACAACGAAAATCAATTCCAGCCGCGGAAAAAAGCGAGTACGACAGACCGTGAGGGCGTGACGCAGTACCAATCCGTGGTTCGTCTTGACAGTAATATATTGGCGGTGCCAATATAAACAAACATGTACAGTACATGTTTGAAAAACACAAAATTGAAGGTGCGAAGCAGTACATCATGTACTGCTTCGCACCTTCAATTTTTGTGGCGCTGGGTACGCATCCTTAAACATGCGTGTAGTGAAGAGACTCCGAATTCCCGCTACACACCAACATCAGTGAGAGAATCCCATCAGTGCTGGTTACGCCGGTACTATTTCGAAGCCGAGACAGCTTACGATCAACAGATACCGCATCCATTTCGCTAGGCGCATGCTGAGGGAATATCCGAAGTAGCTGCGGTCAATACGCTTCGGGTAGCAGTGAGGGAGCAGCGCAGGATCTTCAGGCCTTTTATGCGGTTGCTCTGCAACACAAGCCAAGTTGAAGCTGGGTTAGCACTAGCCTAACATTGCTGGCCTCTTTGACACCAACCTGGCGGTTACAAAATCAAGGCGGAAGAAGCTACCGGCGGCTACTTGCAGCGGCGGCGAAGGCGCCAGAAGCGGCATCTTTGGTGGGCTCTACTGGACCCAGCACGTCCTTGACGTTGCGGATTTCGGGTGGGAGAATTGCCAAATTGGGGTTACTGTGGACAAACTACGGTCTTGTGCGGGAAAAAAGGACCACCTTGTGTACCACAATTCGGGCACGAGGACAAGTTGCGTCGACAACCAATTCACAGAGCGGCGACTGGCAGAAAATGGGTCCCTTTCACACTTGCTTCCAGTATACCACGGTATACTGGAAGCAAGTGTGAAAGGGACCCATTTTAACTTTTTCCGCGGCCTTCTTCAGGCTCCGCGGGTTTGCATACCGACATGGCTGAGATGTTTGAGACTCAAGACCAGCAAGGTCTGAGGCTAACGAGGTGCCGTTTGAGGGGAAACGCGTGGTGATATGCTGGTGGTTCTTACAGGTCGTTTCAAACTCCTGTTATAATATCATGTACCTATTTGCTCTACATGCACTAAGGACACCATCGTCGCATGCTAGCTAGGTTCGTAAAGGGCTGCGTCACAAGTGCTAGAGGAGATGCTGTGAATTGCTCGCTGAATCTACACAGGCATGACGTGGGAAATATGACTGGGCAAAGGGCACGCTGGCCGTTGCCGTTATTTTTGGTGCTCGAAAGCTCGCCGTCGGGCAGGTAGCAGATTCCGCTGGATGTATCCGTCACGAACGCTAGCATCATGCGTGGGCCACGCGAGCTGCGCACGATAGAAAGGAGTGAGTGTGATCACAAGATTTGTGGAGGCAATTGCTACAAGTGCAGTAGCGGCTTCGACCATACATAGCCTCACAAACAGACTGAGTATTTGCTCGTGCGAATATATCGCTGCCTATTCTTGTGTGTATCGGAATGGCGACGGGTGGTATCATTTTCAAGGTTCGATGTGCATGAACTAACTGCGTGGAGCAGGCTTAATTAAGAGTGTGCTTCGTGCTCACACAGATAGCGGCTGTAATGTCTCCAACTTCCATAGGTAAGGTGGTAATGCATTCATACCCGTCAATACTCAGCGTCTCATTCTTGGTGTGCGTTCGCTGTCACAGGTTACACAATAACTTCGATGATTTTTCTTCAGCGGAGTTCCAGCTCATGTAATCTCCGCCCATCGAGGACATTGACGACTACGAGGAAACGCCAATGGAAGCACAAATCGTTCCCCGCGGCGCAAGTATATGTTGCCATGAGAGAGTTTCATTCCTAATTCGGGCAATTGCGATACTTATGTGGCGACAGGACAGGGGGCTCAAGTTGTACCTAAATCCACGAGGTACCGATGGGAGAGGGCTTCGAACTTCTCAAGTACATGAGGTGCACGTTGTTATTCAATATTGATGGTGTCGACAACGACAGAGCACAGACGTGTAGAATGCTTCGTGTGGTTTTGGACGGACGATGGATTCAACCGTGATGCACCGCAGAATCTTTTCGGCCCGTTTGAATTGAGTCGAGTGGACACTTTAGTTGGGTGGGTTTAGAGCGTACCGCTCGATATGGTCGTTGCTGTCAGCCAAGTGGATCATCCGATCTGGTGTAGAGTATGGATATCGTGAGCGAGTTTCCTTCTGAAGCAGAGAAGAGGGCGGTGTTGATCGACAATACTTGCGTCTATTTTCGCTTCAGGCGCTTCCTCTGTATATGCTGTTTTGGTACAGTAAGCCTTGATCCACGAGGAGATGCTCACTTCAACAACAACAAGCAATAGAGCAGCGATCACAACACCTATCGCAATCTGGAGAAAGACACTTCATGCTAGACAGACCGATAGAATTTCGTGGTTGATTTCGATGTTGAGTTGACTGATATGAACGATTGGTGTCATATATGTTTCGCCCCAGTATTATAGTTGACGGATGGAAACGGAGTAATTTCATTAGCCTATTTTGTTCTGGTGTTCACAAGTGTTTTTTTAAAGTAAGGTATATTGAGTTCACTTACGTTAGTAACAATCTCCCAAGGTGTTCACAAGTGACTAACTTTCGGGAGGATGACTAATACTTGAGAAGTTGTATCATTGATAATAAACGTTCAACGTCGCTCGATGTCGGTGGAATCCAGCGAAGGTCGATGAACTTTGACAGTGTATTGCTTTTCACCAGGCGTAGCCACTCTGCAAAAAAGAGATTCTCACCCTCTTCATCGCCACTTGCACCGCTCTCTCTACGAACGGGAGAGAGCTCGTTCACAGCAGTAGCAACGAACGAGTCGAGGGTTCATGGACGCACTGCTCGGATCTCGCACTTCGAGAGGGTCGAGAGGGTGGTAGTCTTGTGGTCACGTCGGAGGTGGTCGGTCGTGTTGGTGTAGCAACCAGAGGAAGGAAATACTTGATTTGGTGTAGCAACCAGAGGACGACAGCTTGCGCGTCTTCAAGCACAGTCAGCACTTGTAGCGGCCGTTTAGCAGCTTCGAGCAGTGGGTTCTGGTGAGTTTCTTTGGCGTCGGGGACATGGTAGATTTTGAAATGATAGCGAGAAGAGAATTACTTGAACGGATAGCTCGACTACCCCGAGGCTTCTAGAAGTTAAACGTTCTAGAATCTGAGAAATACTGATTATTGCGGTCGACCACATTAAATTATTTCAGTTATTTTATTGCCTAACTTTTTTATTTTATTTACTGATTCCGAGCTCTGGCTGGTTGCACGTAGTGTTTTGGTGCTCTTACGGTTGCGTATGGACTGTGAGCGCCGAGTATAATGCAGACTGCGCGGACCGCCCCAAGCTCACGGAACGCTACCAGCAAAATGCGCTCTACCCGTATTTCACCGATGAGTTAGTCTTCATGTAATATGTCAGTATCGACAACCGAGCTGCCTACGGGTTCAGAGAACACGCACACCTGGCCACGCGTATGAATTGAGCGCACCTCCTATTTTCTGGATCGCACTCTGATGCCCAGGGGGAGCGAAGCTCGGAAAAAGGCGAACAGTGCAGGGTCTAGCGGTGCGGATCCGCCGGTTTCGTAAGCGCTGCTGGGCGAGTTTCGCTTGATTTATGAAGGTGTTACGTGTACTTGAAGGAGTTGCTCAAAATCCGTTGGTTTCGTCCTCTAAAAGGGTATAACTTGTTGGCAGTGCTCATAAAAAGAGCCAAGACGACCCGAGACCACTGCCTAAACCAGAGCGTCCGAGAGATGGTCGCGTCTCCCCCGCCGCCCCCGATGGAGCTAGCCTCGGCCGCCTTCGTCCATTTAGGATGCACCCACGCCCAGCTCTTCCGCTCGGAGTACAAGAGGTTTGTGTGGTGTATTAATCTGTACGGAATAGGCCCTATCTTACCGGTACATGTGCTTTGTGGCTAAACAGGAGTAATCGCACTAAGGGTCTCAAGATCCTTCGGTAATATACACACGCCTCTGAGTCCGTGGGTATAGCGTGCGGCTGACCTTTTGCTTTGTCTTTAGATGCTTCCCGCACTGTTGCCCCAAGCACATCGACCGCAGCTATTGCGGCACGTCGCTTAGCGTGCGAGTCGAGCTGGCCGCTCGGTCTCCTGGCGCCGGGCCAGTCGAGCTGTCTCCTACCGATGCTCTGGCGGTCTTCGCGCGCTTCGAAGCTGTGACCGACGCGAGTATTCGACCAGGCGAGTGCGTTGAGGTCGCCAAAATTGCGGCCGGCACTCAGTCCGAGAGTAACTTGGACGGCCAGTGGATGGAGGGCCTGATCGACCGTCCGTCCGGACTCATCACAACTTTCCGCAGGCCTGATGCACCGGTTGACTACCAGAAGCCGCTTGTTTTTCACTTGAACGGGAAACCCCTATCGCGTTGGTACTACGACTGGGAGAGCGGGGCTAACAAGGCGCAACGCCTCATGAAGCACGTGCTCAAAGCTTACGTCGTGGAGCGCTGTGCCGTCGATCGCCATGGTAACTTGACCGCGTTCACGGACCCACAGGCTCACACGCAGCTCTATCGAGTATCGCGCGTCGTGACTTCACCTGAATTCACTGTCATATCATATCGGCGCGCCCCTGCAGAGCAGTACCGGGCGGCGCTGGTACCAGTGCACCCACTTCAGGCGCTACAAGCTGGCGGCATCTACTCGTATCCGGATGATGCCTATCACAAGAGACCTCATGCATACTCTGGCGCGGAAAGTTACGACGTAAGGATCGATCCAGTGATCGTGAAGACAGAGCCGACGTACGAGGTGAAGTCTGAGCAGGTGTCGGGATTCCCATACTCCAGTGATGCTCACGGACTGTTCGAGGGAAACCTGCAGTGGGGGCAAACCAACCTCCCAGCTGCGCGTGTATCCAGGAATTTAGCACTCGCGTACGCATTTCTCCGCTGGGTTCCCATGAGCAGCTACGCACCGATTGCTGCCGAACTGGTGCAAATGATCAACGATCATTTGCAACAGACTTTCCAAGACTGTCCCGATCAAGTTAACCAGATGAACTGTTTTACAAGTCTCCTGCTTGACGAAGCTGGTGGAAAGGTCAAACTCGAGAATGGTGAAGGCGATGGCTCTGCTAAAACGCTGCCATTACAGCTGCAGACGCTGCTGCGCGCGCTGACCCAGGGTATCAAGTGGCTCTATTCAGAAGGAACATGGCAATGGCTGCGTAGCTTTTTCTACCACCACGCCAGATCTGTTCTAGATAAGCATGCTCTAAGAGCGTGCTTCTTGTTATTAATCCAGGAGCTCAGCGACTGCCTCGATGCCCAAGTCTTTGCGCACACCGATCTCAAGAGTCTAGATAACGTAGCAGAAGAAGTCATTGCTGCCGTATACACGTACCCAGATCTCCACGCGAGGCGTTTCCAAGTGCGCGAAATCCTGGGAGGACGCAATTTCATCGGCTGGAACGCGTTCATGGCGCAGATACGAGAAACGTACATCGGTATGTCGACTTCTCGAAGGACCCATCATGCATTCGCACGACGTCCACTCCGTATAGGCTTCAGTCAAGTGCATCCGGCTCGAAACGACATTGAAAACTGCTGGAATGGAGAATGGCTACTCGATGTGAACAAGGCCTCATGGACGTCAAGCGATGGTGCTGCGCGAGATGCCTACGGTCAGAACACTGGCATGCTTCAAACTGACAGCGCCTACTCGCTACTTACAGTGTTCCAAGTGATATCCCAAATGGCGCGTCTACATGTGGCCCTAGACGTTGAGGCGTGTAAACTGCACGTCCGTTCCAATCACACCATTGCAGGCTCGCTAAGTTTCATGCGCATAGTACTGGACGGGAAGGAGCGCGTGTTCTCGCAGTTTCCCGACGGCATGGCCTCGGCCGTTGACGCTTGCCTGTACGGCGACTACGTCGGGGAGGTGCGGGTAGAGCATCCGGAGCGGTTCGTAGTGTACTTGCAAGTCTACAACTGGTCTTTATCCAGAAATGATCCGTCGTACAATGTGCACTTGCGCATCGAGTGCTGGCGCGGTCACAAGCTCTATATTAGTGGTGATACTCTTGCAACTACTGCACCAACCACATACATGACGGATGAAGAAACGTCATTGTGGGGAGAGATGTCTCTGCGAACGAAGCAAGAGACCATGAGTGAAGTACACGCTCGCTATTTGCAAGAGCACTCTAGAGCACGCTGGAATACTTCCGTTGCTGCTGAACCATGGAAGGAAGTAGGCAGGTTTCGGTTGACCTACGCCAAGGTATAAGCTAGAGTAAACAACGCGAGGTGTAGCGCGGGTCGACCACTATCTGGACTGTTTTAGAAATCTGGTAGTTAAGGAAGGAGTCCGGCAGCAATAGCTCTTACTCTAAGAGGATGCAATATACTACATGCATAAACGACGTCCTGTTACTTCATTGACCTACCTGTTTGTTCTTGGTGTGTATGGTGACGTGAGCTTCTGTAACAGGTAAGCTACGTTCATTTTGCAAACGTTTGTGCATTTGGGCAACCCTGCCATAGCCTACAAAGCCAAAATTCGCTACTTCGCCGTTCATCTTCATCAATCGAATTCGAGCTGCTCACTATCTCGCTAGAGTCGTGCCAAGAGGGGCAGTAAAGCATCACAACCGTCGATGAACACGTTCGTTTACAGGTGACGTTTGTGAGCAAGACTACTTAACAACGAAAAAAAAACCATTTTACAGGCGTGAAGGCAGTGTATTTGCTACCAAAATGTATCAGCAGGCATTTCTTCGTGCGTATTTCCTGATCACTTTCGAGTTCGTCACGATGGATCACAGATCTGCAATAGACGCACTTGCCCGAGTTTCCTGGTCTACTGGAGCTTATCCCAGCTCATGATGAACCTAAATGCAGGATATTGTCACCCCGCTTTAGTAGTTCCTCACGCAAAAGCCAATATTACTACACTTGCCGTGCTGGATATGAAAATGTATTTCATGCGTTGTCGTCAACAAAAGCACCCTGATCTTCCGCCTATACTACGCATCTTCGTATTACATCTTAGGGCTGCAGTGCGTCTAGCAATTACCGCCGTCTGGCAGCTCCAGATACTTGCTACTAGATCGAGTGTCGATTTAAAATCCCCATCAATGTTGCAATCCTTAGCCATGTAAGATTACTACCCAAATCTAAGATACTGTATTCGATCTTTTTATTCAACATATCTGTCTGATGTGTAAACAGATCAATTCAACAAGCGTCCGACAAGATGAACGGCATTCCATGAAATCGTACTACCAATTTCAATCTACGTGGTTTGTCTCCTATTATAGAGTCACCTGTATACACTGCTTCACTTTCTTGTGTCGTATCAAAAAGCAAGCAACTATGAAATTATATCGACCTGTCCAGCAGTGAAGTATGTTTTCCAGGCCTGCGGTACATTTAGTGATGCTCGATTTGCAACTGCAAAAAGCAACCCTGAAATTATATCGGCCTGTCCAGCAGTGAAGTTCGTTTAGTGATGCTCGATTGCATCCTACAGTTTGTCGAAACATGCGAGCTTAACGTACCAGGAACGGGAAATACCGAGGACGCGCCCAAAACAAAGTCGACGGGTCGATAGTTGATGAACATCATTATCTGGTTGGTAAGGAAAGAAAACCCAGGTAGGAATCGCACGATGACAATCCGCAACCCCTCAAAATCCAAGTTGACCATCCCCGCCAACCTATCCGTCGACTCATTTGGGCGGCCCTTTCGGTAGTGCGCACTGGCGAAAGTGTCCACTTGGCCCAACTTGAATTTCGATCCGAAAGGTATGTTTGGCACCACGAGATTGAATTGGGGGTAGTCAGTGGTCAGCCACGGGTCTTGTGGCACGGCAGGAGTATTCTTCATGTGCAAAAATCTTGACTTCATTATTGGCTGCGCCCGCATCATTTGTCGGGATCTGCAAACGGAATCGAGCCAATACCCGCTCGGTAAGATGTCACGTCAATCCAGTAGTTCCTAGTGCCGCGTAGTTCGTAAAATGGGGGCTACCAAGGGTGGCATTCAACCGAGTGCTAGTTCCGCGAGAAATCGAGTACATCGAGTCGCCTGTCGGTCCTTGTTCTTGTTGAAGAAAGAAAAAAATGATTCGAATAGCCACTTTACCTGCACGATACAATAAATGGTGGCTTCGAATGGTGAAGAAATTCGATTGGGCATCCTTATCATCCATTCGGCACTGACAATGTAAACGGCAAACGTGAAACTAGTTCAGCGGACGAGTAAGTCCCTACGGCTTGCGATAGGTAGCGTATGCCCTTTTGCTGAATTGAGCATCTTCCAGCTTTCAGTATCGGGGAGTGAATGCCGAGGAAGCGTCTGAAACAAAATTGACGAGAGTATTGTCGATCGAGGCCACTTCCTGTTTTAGAAAGTAAGAAAACTCATGATTGAATCGCTTGTATGACACCCAGAGCCATGTCTTACATCACCCATATCAGTCGATAGTCTCCTTCCCCCATTAGTCTATCAGCCAGCTCATTTTGTGTTGATAGCTACGATTTGGTATCACACTCACACGCCAAAGAGTTCACTTCGCCTACATCTGATTTCGATGCGGAAGATACCATCAGCACCACGAAGTTGGGATGGTTTCACTCCTGAACCCACGACTCGTTGGTCACTGCGGATCCTGCCAAATTCGTTATGGGTCATTAACTGTCCACAGTTAGTCGCCGCGCCACCTTTTGTCAGAAAGATATCAGCGCTGCGTCTACAAAACCGCTCGACAAGCTGGACGTGTCTTCGTCAACTCCGGCCGCTAATCCATAGCGACGCATAGTCCGACATAGTACTGCTCACCCCCCGAATTCTTGTGGTTTACTCCCTCAGTCGCTTCGGGAGAAGAGTACTTCAATAAAAGCACCGCTTGAGTTCTCCTTTACGAATCGCGGTACGCTCAGATTGTTGACGGGGCCAAGTTCGGTGTCTATCGTCCATACCACCACTCGACACCAAATCCGTGAAATTCTATCGGCCTGTCCAGCATTGAAGTACCTTTCTCCAGATTTGCGATAGATGCTGAGTTGCGGTCCTCGAATTGCTCGTTCTCCACTACGTACTGAATCAAACTTACAACGCCGAGGACGGCGAATACTGACGAACTGCTCGAAACAAAATCGACGCGCGAGGCCACATGCTGCTTCAGTAGAAAAGCTCAAACCCGCTACCCCCGCCAATCTATCGGCTGACTCACTTGGGCTGACTGCAACGGCCACATTCAGCGGTACGTGTTCACTCCAGTACCCACCAGATCCAACATTCTGCGGCGCAACACCGTTAAAGTCAGCGGACTTATAAACATTCACACACCCTTGCTTTATTGTTGTCGGCTCCATCTGAATAACACCATTTACTCGGAGCGTTATGTACCCCACTGACCAACAATGTTCATACAGGCGCCTCGAGGATTCAGTACATCTTGAGCCTCACCGTCACATGAGCGTTAGATGCATACTTTTAGCCCGTAGAAACACCTTTGAAAGTCATGTCGAGACAAATCCTGCATCACGGAGAAATATGTGTTGGGGCCCAGTGTTGCTTCTCAATAGTTGTCGATAGACGAAGATTTGTATACGCTGGTGGTTTCCAGTACCCAGTGAAGCAGAAAGCGCCGAAAAGCAAGTAATTGCGTGTCCTGTGATACGGGAGCGAGGAACCAACAATTTAGATAAACATCGTGTATTGAGGGGGTATGGGCCGTCGTCACTGCTGCTGCAATTTGTGCTCACCTATTAGTTTTTTTTTAACCGCGATCCTCAACCTTGCCCCAGGCAGTAAATGCCTCGCCACCACGCTACTGCGTCGAAACCCATGCTCACCCACACTTTCGTCGCCCGGATACTCCCCAAGAATAAACGTAGCCTTAGAATTCACTGGAGACCGAGTCTCTTTGTGCGACTATGACCGGACGAATCCACTCCAGCACTTGCAGCATTCGCCTACACAAGTCTAACGATAGTATTCACTCCTCTCATCCACGCGCAACTCAAGCATGAATGCAATGCTATCACTACTACTCACAATGAGGAGTTCCCTTCAGCTGCCTGCCTATCCGACGGCGAAGACACGAGCACCGAAACTAACGAGAACCGAAAGCGTGTCCTCCGGCCAATCACGCAGCCCACGTCATGCTTGAGTGGATGCAGCGAGGAATTGCACAGCGTTTGCCCATGCATGTGCGACGAAGCCCTTCACGAACCTGCATGTACAGGAGCTATTAGCACACAACGTTGCCTTAATGCACCCACATGTAGAGCGAAATGATAAGCAGCAGTTTTGAAACGGTCAGCTAGATGCTTCCAGAAGGCTACGGATACCCACGCGTTCAAACGGTACCCGACCGCTCTCAGATCTTGCTGGCCACACGTCCCTGCGGCCCAACAGTCTCGGCCGGGTGGTCGATCTCGAGGCGCCCTTGGAAGCCTGAGAAGGCCGCGGAAAGAGTGCGGAAGCTGAAAGGGACCCATTTCCCGCCGGATTTTTGGATCTTCGCGATCCAATAGAAAGGGGGCTTGCCAGTGACTTGGTTTCACTACGGCACGTCGTCCTCGTACCAACATTGTGGTACACAAGGTGGAAGGAAACGTCCTTTCTTGTCGCAGGTCCAGGGTGACCCTTCACACAAAAGACCTCAGTTTGTCCATAACGAGCGCGAGTGACATCAATTGAGCAACTTTTCCACCCTAAATGCGCAACCTCAAGGGCCTGGTGGGTCCAGTAGAAGGACGCCGTCCTTGGAGACCAGTTACAGACAGACACACGCACCGAGAGGAGAAAGATGCCGCTCCTGGCGCCATCGCCGCCGCTGCAAGTGGCCGCCAGCAGCTTCTTCCGGCTCGAGTGCGACCACGCGCAGCTCTTCCACGCCGAGTACAAGAGGTGCGACGGGGCTGTAATCACCGGGCTGGTGTCCACTGCACCCAGCAAACTTTTAAGCTAGTGCTAACCTATCTTTAAGCTAGTGCTAACGCAGCTTCAACTTGCCTATCGTGTTGTGTTGCAGGAGCAACCGCACCAAAGGCCTCAAGATCCTGCGCTGCTTCCCTCACTGCTGTCCGGAGCATATTGACCGCAGCTACTGCGGATCTTCCCTCAGCGTGAGCGTGCGACTAGCGGAACGTCCGGCTGGAAGTGCCCCACCCGAACCCCCTCCCAGCGAGGTGCTATCCGTGTTCGCCCGCTTTGAGGCGGTCAGCGACGTGAGTCTCCGCACTGGAGAATGCGTCGAGGTGGATAAAATCCAACAGGGCGTGCAAACAGAGACCAACCTGGACCGTCAGTGGATCGCCGGGGTGCTGGACCGACCTTCGGCCATGGTGGCGTCCATTCGCGCACCTGATACCTCCTCCTCCACTTCTTCAGCGGAGCAGGTCCGGCCTCTGGTCTTTCACCTAAACAGCAAAGCCTTCTCTCGCTGGTACTACGACTGGGAGAGCGGCGCCAACAAGGCCCAGAGACTCATGAAGCACGTACTTAAGGCGTACGTCGTGGAACGCGTTGCCGTGGATATGGACGACAACTTTACCACCATCTCCAGCCGAGAGGCCTTCACGCAACTCTACCGCGTGTTGCATGTGGTCACGTCGCCGGAGTTTACGGTGATATCCTACCGCCGCGCGCCATTGGAAGGGGTGCATGTTTCCACCCCACCGCCACAGTTCGGCAAGGCACCGATCCCGCAACAGGTTAGAGGAGGAGGGAACCAGCATTTGTCACACCACCAACGAGGCGTCTCTCCAAGATCAGCTGGAGGCGCACGATTCATGAATGACCGGCAGGACGTCGTGTACTCCCCGTCACCGGCACGTGGTGCAAGCGTCGTCCCCATTGCCAATGCAGGGTGGACCCCGCGTGAATCGGATCGACGGATGGAACTGTACGAGGTAGAGGCGAAGCGCCGACGGCGGACAGCAACGAGATTGGACAGTGAAGTGGTGCACCCGCTCGAGGACAAGCTGTTCTGGGAACACGCCAATGCCAAGTCCGTGGCGGTGTCGAAGAACCTGGCGCTGCTGTTCGCGTTCCTGCGGTGGGCCCCGCTGGGGTTTTATGCGCCGTTCGTGGACGAGCTCGTCAACTTGGTGCAACAGAAATTGCTTGAGCCGATTTCGACAGGCGCATTCAAATCGGAGAAGATGAACTGTTTTGCACAGTTGATGGTGGGGCAAGCTCGAAGCGAGGAGGATGGGAGGACTGGCGCTGCGGCAACTGAGTTCGAGACGCTGCTGCGAGTAGCGTCTCAGGCCGCGCTTTGGCTGTACTCGAGGGAAACTCGACGCTGGCTGCGGACGTTTTTCCGACAGTATGCGGCGTGTGTGCTGAACAAGAACGATCTGCGCGCGTGTTTCCTGCAGTTCCTGCACGAACTTGAAGAGCATTTGAACACGGAGGTGTTTGCAGCCACAACTCTGAAGAGTTTAGACAATGTTGCAGAGGAGGTCATTGCCGCAGTGTATTCCTGCGACTATTTTCACGACCGACGGCCGTTCGTGAGGCAGATTTTGGGCGGTCAGGGTTTCGCCGGCTGGAACATGTTCGTGGCGCAGATGCGCGATTCATTCATTGGCTCCACGAGCCTTCCCCAAGGTTTGTATGTACCGGAGAGCAACGCAATTTTCTCGTCGGTCTATCCTCCTCATAACGCAATTGAGAGAAGCTGGAATGGAGAATGGTTCCTGAACCTGGAGGATTCACGCTGGGAAATCGGTGACAAGAGTGCTTCTGCTGGCAAAACGGGCCAAGATGTGTCGTTTTTCTCCGTCGTGGCTCTCATATCACAGATCGTCCACCTAGAAGTGGCAATTGATGTTCAAGTCAGCTCTCTCCGGGTTCGATCGATGAGAGGTGTAGCTGGGAGATTTGATTGCATGCATGTAATATTGGACGGCAAGGATCGAGTGTTTCGCCTGTTTCCGAATGGGATCGCGTCTAGCGCTGGAAAGGGGTCTTGCGGAGACTATGTGGGGAAAATGCGCGTGGATAAACCAGGACGTCTACTTGTGTTCCTTGAGACTTTCGTGTGGGCTTTGGAGGAGGTCGATCAATCGTATCACATACGCGCACGCATCGAGCACCTGGACGACGGTCGCCTCTCGATCGACGGAGACATTCTGGCTACAACGGGATCATTCACAGCCGAGGAGATGCCGTACGTGGCAGAAATGTCCTTGCGAACGAAACGCAAATCGGTCGGGAAGGCGAATGCAAGACGCTCCCATGCTTCCGGCGCATCGACGGACGGAATCGTGGCAGCTTGGAGGGGGCACAGCAAATTTCATTTGAGCTATCGCAAGGTGGTCTGATGAACATATCAGAATGTAGTTAGTTGAATAGGAAATGAAGTAACATTGATAGGATAACATCAATAGACGTCAGTACAATCTGAAGTGACTAGCTGGAAAAAAAAGAAAGATCCTTAAAGAAATTCTGCCATTTCTGAAAGAAGCTCAACACAGATGAGCACGCCAGGCTACTTATGAGTACGAGGAAGAACAATCAGAGGACTCGGAGGAAGGCGTAGACTCGAACTCGCACGAGGACTCGGACGAAGAAGATGCTCTTACGATGATCGGCCCAAGAAGCGGTGTCCCGGTGGAAGTCAAGTACGATATGCCGCGTGATTTACCGTTCGTGCAACCCTACGAAGGCGGCGACTTCTTTTTCGTGCGCGAGTGCTATGATGTGTACTACGTGCTCGTGGAAAAGCTGCTGCTGGAGGGCAAAAGGTGCGTCACACTGACGGGAACCCGAGGTAAGCTACATGTACGTGGCAGGATCCTTATGAGATTAAACAATCGACCTCCTTTTCTTGGCGTAGGAATCGGCAAGTCCATCTTCTATGCCTATTTCTTTGACCGTTTTCGCAGGGAACATCAAGGAGAAGGATGGATCGTTGTTGCGTCGAGCTATAAGAAATCAGGAGAAGTTCCGGACATGGCTGTTTTTGAGGAGGGCAAAGAGCCAAATATTATTCGAGTGGCGATCCCGGAAGCTCTCGGAAAGATGGCGTTGTGCTTGGCAGGTGTTACGTGACGGAAGATGGGGAATGGCGTGGTGATGGTGATAACATGAAGAAGAAAGTGTTGTATTTGTGTGATGGCCCGCCGATGGTTAGCTACCCACAAACTGTGGTGTTCACATACCCGAATGATAGGTGGTTGGGCCAAGTCAGAAAGGATAGGTGCACCTATTGGATGCCTCCATGGACACTGAACGAGTTCCAATTAGCTGCTGCAGTGCTGGACTAGATGATGAACTCCAAGAGCGGTTCTGGAACTTTGGCGGTGTGGCACAAAATTGCCTCAACCTTGACTTTGAGGCTATCCCTAAAGCTATCCACGATCTGACGGAGCCCATTGCACATATTACCGATCGAGGCGACCTCAAGAACCTGCTGGTGGGGAATAACGACACTCGCCATCGTTTCCTGCACTACCAGCCCATTAGTACCGGGCGACGAAAGACGACAAAACTGGTGTCGGACATGATCTGTGAAAAGCTTTCGGATGAGCTGCTGCAAGTAACCAAAGGCCGCATCAACGATGTTAAGCTAATGCTTATGGTAGTACCTGAAGTTGTCTCGCTGTATGGGTGGGTTTTTGAAGGCAGTGCACACGCAATACTGCAAGGTGGGCTTAAAATGAGTGCACGACCGCTAGCAGCTGCTGGAGCACAGAAGACGGTGTTTACTATATCGAGTACTGCTGGATCTGCTGTCTTCAAAACGGAGGCATTGGCTCCTTCACTTCTAACAAGCAGCGGGCCATACCACAAACCGAAGTCGAAAATTCTGGATTCAATTGACGGGTTTTATTTTTCAAAGGAGGTTGCGAAACTCACTGGAGAGCTGAGAGGCGAGTACATGGAGAAGGAACCTATCCTCTTGTTCCAGATGAGCGTCCCCAAAGTGCATCCTATGCGCGCGTCGGGAATTATTTACGTACTTCGGAAGCTTGGTCTACTGGAGACTGTCGAGGAAAACCACAAACGAGCTGCAATTATATTTCTGCATCCTGCCGCTCATGCGAGCGCCTTCCAACGACAGAAGATTATCGTTAGTGGCGGTTCTCCGAGATCTATTGAAGAAGCTCGCGGCATTGGGCCACTGACTCAGAAAACACTAGCGATGTACGGCGTCAAAACGGTTGAGGAGTTGAAGGACGGGATTAACGCCTTCAGGGATGGTAAAATCATTATGCAAGACCACAGTTGAAGGAGCAAGGCCCGAACGCAGGCAAGGGAAACCGCGAAAAAAAGACAAGGAGGGAGAGCAAGAGCAACGGCTCGAAGCACGAGGCAGCTTGGACGCGCGCCTTGAGATGCTGGGAGTTGCACGTGGAGTCCTTGAGCGAGCCGAAGTACATCCAATTGGCGCAAAGTATCCCACAATATGTAAGTGATGCTGCCGATATCGATAACAAGAAAAGGGGTAAGCAAAGCAAGCCGTGCAAGGAGATCAAGATCAAAAAGCTGTGAATTAGCGGCGGCGACGACTAATAGCTGCCGATGCGATGCAATTTGGTGATTCTACATGTACTACTGTAGTATTTGACAACAGCATTCAATCATGTTTTGCTCAGAAACACCCGCCTCTTTAGTAAGCAGAAACCTAGCCTCTAAAGCCCACTTTTGAATTGGTTAGACCTTGGCAAGACAAAAGAGATTGCTCGCCTGTGAATTTCAATACCTACCGAGCCTCACCTTTCTTCGTGTCAACTGCTGCTGGAGAAAGACGCTTGCACCTCGCATGGGTTTCTCCCAGCGCTCCCGATTATAGCATGGTAAAAACAATAATGTCAATATTTTGTTATTGATTATTTATGGCAGACGGGTGGGCTCATCCATAAATTATTTATGTCGGAAGGACCTAGAAATAACTGTTCCTTGAAAATATTTCTCTAAATGTAGAGGCTTCAATACAAAAAGCGAGTTGAGTTCAGTCTAAGGTTCGAGAAATAGTTGTTTATGATCATTGCCGACATTACATTATTTATGCATCTGATTTGTAGGGTTGATGCCATTATTTATGAGCCAGATGGATCATCCATAATTAAAAATACCATAATCGGGAGCCCTGGTTTCTCCTGAACTTGGTCCAGCGAACCAAGTTACTAGAGTACGAAAATGATTTCGCAAGTGCTGCTCCGAGACGGTGATCCGGAACAAAAGGATACTTCTGTACTCCGGGTCCATTGGTGGCGCCGTGATGGCGGATTGCCTCCCTTTACTCGATCTCGCAGCCGACGTAGGGAAATAAAACCCGTCAATTAACTCGAACATCTTCAACCTCGGTTTGTGGTATGGCCCATAGGTTAGTAGCGATGAAGAGAAGGCGTCGATCTCAGCGCTCTCCAGAATCGTAAACGTGGTTGTCGATGCTTCTATTTCTCCGCGCGATAGCAATCGCGCCTTCAGTTGCCCTCGCTGCAGCGCAGCATCAACATTCGTGTGATTACAAGCAACATTAACGAAGTCGAAGACTTATAGGCAACCCAGAGCGTTGCTCCGGGAGGGTACACAGGTCGACGAATAGTTTCATGGACTATGATAACGGATAATAATTGAGTAAATCCCAAAGTTGTTTTGTTTTTAATCCTTAAAAGCTCTACCAGCCCAACTCTCTAGTTGATTCTAACGTGGGCATCTACTGCGCCTCCTTCGCAGCCGCAGCATCTGCCCGAGAATGCGTAATTGAACAAATAGTTGCGCACATCGAAGTGTATCGGTACGGAAATGATGTTTCAGCCAAAACCTTTGTATAGGCTGGCCTTTATCGCGGTGGGTTCTCAGGAACCGAAAGTCCCCAATTGAGGTTGCCTGGTCTGATGAGGCCATCGGTGACATAACACCCTGGTCAGCGTCCAATGGCTGCGTTGACGCCGGCAACGAGAGAACTATTTCATTCATTTTGCAGGTAAGATATATTGTGCTCATTTAGTACTATGTTGTGTGCTAACGATCAGACGAGAGAGCTAGCGGAACGAAGGAGAGACGCATGGTGCGCTGATCTTGACCTTTTAACTTGAGGGCTTGGAGGGGGGGGGGGGGGGGTAAATTGCGGAATGAGAAATACGTTAATGGACCAAGTCCTTGGAAGTGGGCGCTTCAACGCAGGGAAAAAAAGTCTTATTCAAACGAACGATACTCGTGTCACTATTGAGTTGAGCTGGTTGGTTCGCTGAGAGACACGAGGTTGGGCATCTTGGGCGTGATTGAGTATTGAGCAAATTGACATGCAAAAAATGCAGCCTGCAGCTAGACAAGTCATGTTGGTCATCTTCAGCTAAGCTTGGTCGATTACGACGCAAATTGATACGCCTTCAGCGAAGCTATGACGCTCTCATAGTGTACTGGAGCGCCCGTAAGTATTTGAATGCAGGTTTGGGTAAAGAATAAACGATTAGTATCAACCTTTGGTAAATAATGTGCATAAATCTTAGCATTTATCGACGGGTACCCGATTCCGGCAGATATTAGCTTAAACATTACAATTAAGAAAGAGAGACCCGGTTTGGTACCCGGGTTTGGAAAGCTACAAGTTTTTTGCCAGGGCCAAGCATAGGCGACCCGGAGCGAACGCTCCGGGGGAGTACACAGGTCGAATTAGTCAAAAATTAACCTCTGAAACTGGTATTTACCAGCAATAATGGCTCGATCTCAGCGAAACATGTTCAAATCGCAAGTTAGTTTTGAATGCGAGCCCGACTTGGAGCCATTTCTGTTAATAAGGCTTCAGAAATCAATTGATGAACATTACAGTAGCAAGATAACGTTGTTGGCAAGAATGAATAGTTGCTAAATAAACCGTTTCCTGACAGTTTGCGACAGTCGACTAAGTCGAGTTCTTGAACTACGCCAAGAAGATACTGAGGACGACCAGTGTCTCATTTTGGCCTGGAAACTTAACAAAGTGGCCATTAAATGCTCTGGGTCGGAGCAAAAACTTGGAATCCACTCACAAACTATTGAGCTAGGGTAGCTAGATATACAGAGAGAGAGAGAGAGTTAAAGCTACTGCAGAACCCTGCTGCTATGAATTTTGATGCCACTATCGTATTGAGTGGGGAAAGTATCCAGAGAGTGCCTGGTGCGCAGCATGTGCGGCTGCAGTGAAGACAATGTTAACACCCTCCGTTGCATGTTTAGCGAGCATGTCTAATGTGAGACGATGTACTAGGCTTTCAACATTCGAGGCGTACAGCTTACGTAGCTCGAGCTAGCAGACATGATAGCACGAGATATTGACAAGCGTTGCCCAGCTATAAAGTATGCTTCAGCGGATGCATAGCGTAATTTATTTTTGAAATCCTTAGCAACCTTTCACAAAAGTAGTAATAACTCGTATTTCTAGTCTTACCTATCTTAGACTTGTCCTTGATTTTAGTGCTAAATTTAGCAAACAACCCCTGAGCTACAGAGTAATACTTGTAGCCATTCGTAGCTTTAAATATAATTGTTTAGGTTAACAAGTACTATTTTTCGGTTAGAAAGGTACCCGGTTTCGGTAAGTTCCAAAACAATTCTGTCAGCCAAGCACAGCTCTTCGACCTGTGAATATAGCTGACGTGTCACAATATTTAAATTGAGGTAAGTGATATGGTAGCACTAGAGAGGAAGTACGGCGGGCATCGGGAGCCGAGATGCTGTGTTTAGTACGCTGGAAAATCGAAACTGAATATTATAGCTGTTAACTACAACTATCCCTTGCTATTTGCTTTGGGCTGTCGGCTACCACTAATTGATCTTGAACCGCTGCTGCTGCAGTTCACCCTTGCGGTTAACCGTGATCTAGGGTTTCGCGAGATACAGTCCAGCATCATTAGTGCTCTCTTGCTGCTGGTGTGTAATTGCCCTTGATTATCTTGATCTCGCGACATGACGGTCATAATCACATTCAATTTCCACAACTGCCCTCAACATCATTTCAGCCAATCACATTTGAGTAACCTGGTTACTGCGTAGCAACCGTACTACAGTCGCGCTACGTATCTGGAGACTGCAGAAGTGTATACCATATCTACATATCGGGCGTCTCACAAACGGAATCAAAAGGGGGTGTCTGATGCGTAGTACATGTGTGAACGCAGATACAGGTCCAAACACTCGGCAATGCGGCGGCTAACCCGCATCAAACTGTAGATACGTGTAGTATTGAGAGGATAGAGAAACCTAGAAAATGGAAGAGTGGGCTCATGAGGCGACGGCATACCGCTCGGCCAACGTCAATGGCCGCCAGCCGGAGCGCATTTAAATATCTGATGACCTGCAAATCCCAATATGCAGATTGCCGGCCAGTGCAGTCAGTGGCAGTCTGACTGCTGGTGTACGCATGGACAACTGGTTCGGCATAAAGCTGCTGGAGTTCTGCGGCGTTGATCTCATGGTGAAATACCAGGAATATACTCCATACGTAATATCTGCATAATGTAGAAATAAAGTCGCACATAAGCAAATGCATGTTTCTGAAGGGGAACAGGTCACCTGCAGTTCTGGTCTGTTTTGGTCTCGACTGCAGGAAGGGACCAAAACAGGAACCTAAAAGGAGTCTAAGCACTGAAAACCTGTTTCTCGTTATATAAAGACAACCATGTTTATTAATAAAGGTTAACAGGTCAAATGCATGCAGAGCTCGTGCAGCGCGAGCCGAGGAGAAGTTGACGCTGTGATCTGATCCGTTGGGGCGTGTGTGTGGGGGGGGTTAAGAGGTCCTCTATTTACGTTTAGCGAAAAACTATAGAGTCCTGGAATCGCTTTAGGGTGTTCCGAATCGAATTGCGTTGGGTCGTGTGCAGGTGCCCGATTTAGCGATGCTGCTACTAGGACATTCAATTTTGTGAGGTCTCACTGAATCCTGTTGTCCCGTGTCGTCGGTATACTCATGCGCTGGGTTGCTACTGTTACAAGGCCTTGGAGAGAGGCAACGTTTCCAGAGTCCATCCCCACATGCAATTGATGAAGGACTGGTGTCCTGGTTAGGATAGAGCTATTACGCCAAATTGTTTTTCTACAAGCGCTCTACTGTTTTTTTTTCATCTTATGAATGGTAGAAATTAGTGGGGACGACTCGGCCAAAAGAATAGTGTAACCTGGTCGCGTCGTAAGCTCTCAACGCGTTCCTCCGCATGCCTCCCATCCTGTTGTAGCTGGTTCTACACTGTGTAGCCTTTGCTGGGGTCTAGCCCAGCCACACCAACACTCTGCCGAAGATGAACAGCTGCAGCAAGTAAGGGCGGTTGCTCAACTGATGAAGTATGGACTGTTATGTAGACGCAGCAAGTACGGACGGTTTGTGCGACCAGAGTGGTCACCTCCAAGAGCATGCATAGGACAAGAGCAGCTAGTGCAAACAAAGGAACTGCTCAACACATATCACTTCTACATTTCCTTTGGAAGCGACACAACAAAGAATTCTTTTAGCTGGACAAGTCGCGGCCTAGCATGGAAGAACCTGACGAAGCGATGATGCCTGTCCCCACCGACGGGATGCCCATTGCTGTCTACCCTCCACTGCCGCCGCTAACAGAGCACGACCTACGACTGACGCAGGAGACGACTACAAGAACGGTAGTAATTCAAGAGAGTGAGACGCAGCGTCAAGTAGAAGCCCTGGCCCAGCATGCAGCTGCAGCGCATCAGAGGAATGCTGAGCAGATTGGCCAGGTGCAGCTCCAGCAAGACCGACTTGCAGAGCAAACGTCAGCATACCTGCAAGCCCAAAATGACCGACAGTCGGCCTTAATTGAGCAGCAGCAGGAGATGCGCCGTCAAATGGACGAGCACCGCCACTACCTGGAGGAACAGTATAATGTGCTGAGGGCGGCGGAAGAGGCGGTTGGACTTCAATCACAAAGGCTTAAGAGCCTTGCAGAGGCTGTGCAGCCGCATTTGCAGGCTCGGTGGGGAGCGTTTGCGCAAGGTGCGGCGCCGTCAAGTACTGAACGACCACCAGAAGCTGCTGCTGTCACTGTGGTAGCAGGAACGAACCTGACAGTCCCGCCGATATACAGAGGAAGCTCTAAAAAAGAAAAGAGGGGCTTCATGGACAGCTATGCGATTTACACAAGGCGCGTCAAGGCCTTGAACCAAGGAACGCACGCGAAGTTTTTTGTGATGCCACTCAGTGCTTGCATCGAGCAAGGCACGATGGTTCGTATATGCGGTTTCGAACTCTTCAAGGAGGAGAAGGACGTCACCGAAGCCGAGTGAAGAGACTACTTTTTGTCGGCGCGTATACCAGATAACACAGCGTACAAGACACTTGATAGAGAAGTCAAAGCTCTTTGCATGGGCATTGAGCCGCAAGATGCGGAGTCACGACTCTCACGACTCATGGCTCAGCCTTACGAGATAATTGACCAACTCAACATGGAGGACGTCGTGCACACTGAGCCCAAAAAGGCCATCGGATATTTCGTGGGCGCATTAAGGCCGCAGCTTTTTAAGGCAGCAGAGAAAGACCAATTGAGCCGGCAGTGCCACAAGTCTACTAAGTCGGATCTGGCAGCGTTCCTGAAGTGGCTGAGAGGTGAACTACAGGGGTTTATGCGATTCGAGGCCCACATTTCAGCCCAGACTCAAGCCAAAGGAGGGACCAAGCCGACTCAGCAGCAGCAGTCAAACCGAGGATTTGGCGGGACGCACGGTGCTACCAAGGTAAACAGCACTGACGACCGACACCAGCAAGGTGACCAACAAGGCCAAGCCAAGACCGACCGGTGATCGTATGCCGAAGAAGTGCTTCAAACGCAGTGATCAGACGCATGGTGTGTTCCGGTGTCCTGCCATTGCGAGCCCATCCGAAGCAAAGGTGCTGGAACCTGTATTAGCCGTGACGGCATCGGATTCTAAGGTGGCTACATCGACTTCAGCCATTCCGTGTGTTGTAATGGACAACGTTGAGACGGAAATCACCCCCCCCCGACAGTGCCGCCGAGGTGTCAATGGTGACTGCAAAATTACTGAAGCTGTTGACAGCGAAGGGGGTCTGGCTCAACAAGCAGGATATTGACGGAGGAGGGCCATCACTGGTATTGGGGATAAACCTCTGCCTGTCAAGAGCAAAGTGAAATTCGATCTGAGGTTTTCGACTCCAGGGGGCCCTTTGGTGCTCCACAACGTGATTTGTTGGGTGACGGAGCACCGGCTACCGCCTGGTGGTGGTGACCTATTGCTCTCGCGATGGATTATGGAGCGATTGGGCTACAGCCCTGAAAAGATGCTTGCTTCTGCACAGCAAGTGAGTGCGGAGTGGGATATGAGCGATGTCGACGATCGCCCGGCTAGTGGAGTAGCGAGTGTTCTCGCGTATACAGGAGCAGCAGAGTGTCCGCAACGACTGAGGAGGAGCGTGCACTTGAAGACGATGAAGCTCGTGCATGCTTTCCTGATTTCGACAAAGATATCGACGCCGAAAGAGAAGAAATTAGAGCTGTTCTATTGGAGAAGGTGGATGAAGCGCGGAGATCTGGTGCATCGGAAGAATTTGTGAAAGAATTGGAGACGATATTGATGCAGCTCATCGATATTTTTCGTATCATCATCGGACGCGACCCGCCCGTCGATATGCCTCCAATGAAGGTGAAGTTGAAGCCTGGGGCAATTCCAGTCAAGTGTAAAGCTTGTCGCTACTCGCCGGTGCACCGTGCATTTCTCAAGAAGCACATCGACGCACTGATGGCATCGGGGTCGTGCTACCGAAACCCGCAGAGCAGGTGGTGCTCGCCGCCCCAGTTGTGAACAAACCCGAGGCTAAGGATCATCGCGTGACAGTGGATGTACGGGGGGCAAATGCCTGTGTCGAGTCTGTTGTGTGGCCGATGCCTATTCTCGAGGCCGCATTTGAACAGCTCCGAGGCTCGTCACAGTACTTCTCTCTAGACTTCTTCAAGGGGTTCTGGCAACTTGCGATGGCTCTACTTTGCCAGGAGATCTACTCTATTCTCACGGAAGAAGGAGTGATCACACCGACTCGCGTGCTGATGGGAGGGGCCAACAGCGTTGCTCACGTGCAGTCAACGGTACAGCAAATGTTTGCGGAAGTGTTCAATAACGGATTGATGATTTGGATAGATGACTTGTGACATGGCGTTGCTAGCTTTGCTCAAGAAAGTCCTCACCATTTGCGCCAAAAAGGGGTTGAAGTTGAACCCGAAGAAGTGCAGATTTTATTTGCGAGAGGCCCTGTGGTGTGGACGAGTGGTCTCCAGCGAGGGCGTTCACCATGATCCTGCTAGAAGTGATGCACTGTCGAAGCTCCCAGCCCCTTCGACTGGACAGGAGCTACAACAGTTCGTCTGTGCACTGAATTGGATGCGGGCTTCTTTACCCGCTTTCAATAAATTGATTGACCCTCTCGTGAAGACAATGGAGCGAGTGTATGAGCGAGCTGGTGGCCGTAAGAAGCAACAAGTCCGGTCCATAAAACTCTCTGACGTGGGGTGGGGCGACAACGAGGTTCCCTGTTTGGACCGCTGCAAGGAAGCATTGCAGCATGCGCTGCTGTTAGCGCATCCCGACCCCGAGAAACAACTCTCAGTGTACACCGACGCGAGTGACGAACATTGGGGCGCCGCCATCACGCAGATTCCTCGTGACCATACTAACCGACCGCTTAGTGAGCAGGAGCATCAACCATTGATGGATCCTTCTCTGGTGCTACAAAGCGGTGGGCAATTGTCGAGATAGAAGCATATGCAATCGTCGAGACGTGCAGACGCGCAGACTATCTACTGCACCGCCAAGATGACTTCGCATTGTTCACGGATCACCGCAACTTACAGTACATCTTTGACCCACACAGCGTGCCGAGCTCGGTGCCAAAGTACACAGCAGATAAGCTCCACCGGTGGTCGCTACTGCTGATGGGATACAAATACGAGATTTACGATATTGCCGGTGACGATAACGTGTGGGCCGACCTTCTATCAAGATATCAAGATGGGGCTCTGCCTTTAAGACTGTCTGTGCTATTAGTCAAGTGCCACTACCGTTGGGAAGATTTTTAAATGGGTCTTATGCAGAACAGGTCTTGGATTTGATCAGAGCGTGCTTTTCATTGAACTTGTGATTCGATCACATTTGCCATGCTTTTGACGACGTAAGTCGGAAAAGTCCCAGTCTCACTTTGAAACCTCAGCCGAGCGCCTACCACGACCCAAGCTTCCTAACCTCTGTCTGCGCCTCAGTGATGCCCGAGCCACATCGCCACGGACCGAGCCGTTGCAGCACCCCGGGTCGCTGCCCCTGCAACACCGCAACGGCATGCGTCGGACGGAGGAAGATGAGCAAGATCCTCGCCTTGAAGAGCTCCAGGGTAAGCGAGCGCAAACACCACCAGCAGAGCAGCAAGGAGGCCATGGGAGAGGCCAAGAAGATGCAGCAGCACCATCGTAGTGGGCAGCAGGTGGGCAAGATGCGTCAGGAGAGCACAAACATTAGTCGGTCAGGAAGTGGCTTATGGAATCGATGGGCCATACTGCGCTGTGCAAGCTATACTATTTGGTAGGCGAGGACGCGAAAAGTGATGTGGTGCAGCTGAAGATGCCGTCCGTCGCGGTAAGAACAGGTGACGCACAGACCTGTGCGTGCACTCGTGCAGACGGATGCGCTCCACATGCCTCGTGAGTGCGGAGCGCGTCAAGTCCACGCAGGTATCCGGATACATCGTTGCTGTCCCTGTTGTCCAAGTCGGCGTAGCTGACCGCAGCGCCGTGCGCCACTCCTTCCACGTGCTCAGGCTGCCGCCGCCGTTGGGCTCCGAGTCGAGCGGAAACGCGCGCACCTTTGGCTGTCACCGTGAGCGAGCTCGGCTCCCGCTGGCAGTTGTCTACGACACCTCCATGGTGCGCGTCAGGCGGTGCCTGAGGTCCACGCATGAGGATGCGGAGCCCGACGAGGTGGGCGCACAGTGGAAGAGGCTGCGTCGGACGTCCTGTCGCCGCCGCTGCTGCTGCTGCTGCTGCACCTGCTGCTACTCCGTCTGCTGGTAAGGTTGGTCGCAGTGCAACGTCTTCGCTTTGGAGAGTTTGCTGCCGTGCTGTGGCTGTGGCACCTCGCTACGAGCTGAAACGCTATATAATTCTCCTAGTCAAGCAGGAGTGAAACATGTCGATCACATGCCGTAGCTAGGCTACATAATTCTAAAGTACATGTACCTGTTACTTGTTGGTAAACTAATTTTACAAGATATGTGCTAATTGCCAACAGTGGAGTGTCGATGCTGAGAGTGTGAACGGAAACCAAACCAGGTGTGCACTGCTTTGACTAAAAAAACACCAGTCGCGAATGGGATACAATGCACGCACTGCAGCAACTGCATTGGACTTTGAGCACCACTAGAAACATGAACAGCGTGTGCTATTGCAAATAATGAATCTTGCTGTCAAGAGAAGTAGGAAAGGGAGGTATGTTCGACTGCTGCGGCGACTCGTTCTACCTATCCGATACAGTGAAGTAGGTGATAGTCCATATAAGCAGTGAATACAATGCTTTTGAACACGATCTACTGCCAAAATACCTATTGAGCCAACGTAACCGGCCAAAATGCACACCCTTTCACGTAGATACAGCACCACGAACTGTTGCTAGAGTAGGAAGCCGAACGGAGCACGCGCTAAGGAACCCAGTCATGCCATGATCCAAACCTGTGGCTGTTTGGTTCAGGTCTTTTGATTCGGTCTCACAATCAGCATCTTCAAATCCTGGACCTGATCTGCGTAAGAACCAAAATAAAGGCAACCTACCGTTGTCGCCTCAATTTGATGAAGCGTTCGTGTGGCCAACATTGCCGGAGATTGTCGCAGCGCAAAGTGCAGCCGTTCCGCCACGGGGTTTCGCCCTCTCCAGTGAAGATGCGATCTCTCTTTGGAAGGACAAGCAGGGCCGGATCTGGATTCCGGATAATGCAACAGAACTACAAGTGCGCCTGTGCGTCGTAGGGCACTTTGGCATTGCAGGACACAGGCAGTGCGGTGACTTTGAAGAATATCAGCGAGACGTTCGTCTGGAAGGAAATGGCTCGCGATGTGGAGGATTTTGTTCAGTGATGCCTACACTGCGCAAGTACTCTAGGTGGTCCGCCACACCCACGCCCACTTGGTGAGGCGATGCATGCCGAGTACCCCAACGAGCTCTAGCACTGGGACTTTTTGTACATGGGGGAGAGCGACACGGACCAGGCGTACGTCCTGGTGATTAAGGACGACGCGTCCAAGTACGTGTGGCTGGTGCCTAGTGAGGCAGCCGATGCAGAAACTACATTTGCTGTTCTGCTCGACTGGGTTGCCTCGTTTGGAGTGTGTCGGTCTTGGGTGAGTGACCAAGGTACACATTTCAAGAACAAGGTCATCGAAGCGCTTCAACATGCAATTGGGGCGCACCACCATTTCACCACCGCTAGGTGCCCATGGGCAAACGGCACCGTAGAGGTGGAGAACCGAGAAGCGTTGCGCTGCTGCCGCGCTCTCCTGTCTGAATGGAGGCTGCAGCCGCACGAATGGCCGAGAGTGATAAAGATCGTTCAGATGGTGCTAAACAACTCGCCATCGCCATCGCTGGGGGGCGTGGCACCTTTGTCCGCTATGACGGGACTCAAAGCTATGGGGCCTAGCGATCATTTTGCAGTAGCTGGACCTATCAAATCGACTACTCCTATCAAAACGACTACTCTCGCCGAGATACAAACAACACAAAGAGCGCATGTTGTGAAGCTGCAACAAGCTCTCGACGCTATGCACAAGCGCATCAAAGACACCAACGCGGCTGTCCCAGCAGCCGGACGCAGGGGCACGACAAAAAGCGGGGCACTACTATGGTCCAGTTTGATCTGGGTGATTTCGGTTTGTATGCCGACGTCTGGCAGCATACGGGCAGCAAACTCAGCGTGAAGTGGTGCGGGCCGGCTCGTGTTGTTTCAACCGTGTCCAACTGGATATTCGAGATCGAGAATCTGATTACGGGGCGGAAGAATAGGTGCACGCTAGTCGACTGAAATTTTATGCTGATGCCTCCCTCAATGTGACAGAGGACCTGTTGCTGCATATTGCACACAACAGCGAGGGCCATGTGGTGGACTCTTTGCTGGAGGCTCGATACAATCGTCAAGAGAAACGGCATGAACTAAAGGTGCACTGGCGTGGACTCGATACGATTGAGGATTCCTGGGAACCCGCGGACACATACTGGAGGAGGTGCTGTCGATCCCAAGGATGACATCCGCGTTGTCTCGGCCCGTCACCTTGGCGAAGTTCACCAGGAACAGCCTGCAGCTTCTCGCACGATTCCGAAAGCGTCAAAAAGAAGGTGATGAAGAACATCGACGAGCGCTGCGTCTGCCTGTGCCTACGAGGTGGTACTCAAGATTCGAGTGCATTAAGAGTGTGCTGGACAACCGAGGGACAATTGGCAAATTATTTCGTCGGTCGAAGTTTATCAAGCGGAGGTTTGGACGCCGGCGCGCTGTTCTCGCCGAAGTTCAGGCCATCGTGGCTGACGGGCTTCTGGAAGCGGATCCAGCTGGTTCAAACCCTCCTCGAGCCGATTGTTGAGGCCGTCGCTATGCTCGAGCAGGACGCATGCTGCATATCGATGGTCTATTGGCGGTTCAGCCAGCTGCAACGGAGCTCCGTGTACACAGAGCGCATCTCCGGCGTCCCCATGGCCGTCCAGACCAGGATTTTGACATCCATCCAGGACAAATGAAGTTTTGTGCACACAGACACGATGGACATCTAGTTTTTGCTGGATCAAACGAAATCCACTTTGGACTTCGTCGACAACGATTTGACCTAGACTGAAGTCCATCAAGCAACTGGCCGAAAGGATTGGGCTCGTGGAGACGGCAGCTGAAAAGCAGCAAATTGCTGCTGAGGTTGATGAGTTCTATCTGAAGAAGCGTCGCTGGTCCGCCGAGACGAGGGAGGAGGAAGGACAGATCTCTCTGATGGCGCGGTGTGAGAATAAGGTCGTCAGGGCGCCCGACAGGGAACACTACTACCCGCTCCTCACCCCGTTAGCTGCACGGATTTTTGCAATTTCAACGTCATCGGCTGCTAGCGAGCGATCGTGGAGTATCCACGACTTCATACAGACCAAGCGGCGGAACCGTTTAAATGCGAGGCGTGTGGAAAAGCTCGAGTTCATCTACTGCAATGCTGGCAGCAAGGATGCCAAGGCCAACATATTCTAGAAGCTAAGAACGAGAGCGAGGATGAGGACGATGGCGAGGCGGACGTCGACGGAGTGGATCAGGACAGCGAGGGCACCAGCGCCAGTAGCGCTAGCAGTGTCGGCAGCAACAGAGCGAGCGAAGATTTCTCGCTATCATACGATGGCAGCGAGGAACAGAAGCAGGAGGGTAAACTTTATCAAGAATCTATTTTTGGAGTGACTCGATTTGGCAATAATGCACTGCATTGACGGCATTGATGAACTCCGTGCACTGCATTTATGCCATAATGCATGCATTTGCCCATCCCTAAGCACGACATGTGCATACATCGATTAATACAGGAGCGCTACATATCTGCAGTCTACAGAAGTGTGCCATATCGATGTAGGTATGGATATGTCGACAGCAGTACTGCATATCTGAAGACTGCAGAAGTGTACCATAGCATAATATCGAAATAATTGTAGCGTGTCTCCAGATTGCAGAAGTTGTCATAGTAAACAACGGCACAAGTATTATCGCCTTCACGAATTTTGCGCCCTCTACCGTATTTCGCATGTAGAAAGCTGCACCGGCATATGAGATGCACTTTGATAACTACCAATCAGTGTGCGGCATTTACCATGGCACTAAATCGCATGTAGAGAGATGCAGTACTAAAACCCTTTCAAAACTGATACAAATGCTCACCACTCACTTCATTGCACTTCGTAGCCCGCGCTCTCGGGGGTTGGCGCCATTTTGGTTTTGCCGATGGCGCGCACCAAGCCACGGCCAGTCGGCAGGCCACGCCTAAATGACAAAGGCCGCTACCAGACCAAGCACATCAAGAAGAGTGTCAGCGTCGCAAAGAAACTCGAGGTGTTGTCCTTCTGGGCAAATACGCCGAAGCCCAAAATGAAACAAACAATCGCCTATTTCTGGCACGATCTGGCCCGCGAGTTCTATAACTCGAAGCGCACGATGATCCAGCGCTGGCGGCGTGAATCGGCAAAGCTTGAGGCTGCTATGAAAAATTGCGAAGGTAAATATTTAAAGGTGCGAAGCTTAGGAGTTGGGACGATCCTCCCACCAGAGGTAGAACTAGAAGTGGTATTCTGGGTGAACAGTTTGCCCAAGGAAGGTGTGCCAGTATCGCCGCGCATGCTGGCCCTACAAGCACGGCGGGTTGCAGCTTAAGCGGGCATCAGGAACTTCCGATCGTCTGACAAATGGATTCAAGGATTACGAGGCCGCCATCGCATGAGCATGCGAGTTCCAACTCGTCAAAGCCAAATCAGCCCCGAGGATATTGCCAAGGTTAAAGCGGAGTTTGCAACAGAAGTCCAGAAAATGGCTCGGCAGCTGGGTATTACGCGAATCTACAATGCAGATCAGACAGGTTTGTTTTTTATTTATTCTAACTGCGAATGTATATTTTAACTTATGTTCTCTAGCTGCATTTTTTGAGTATCTGCCTAGTGCATGCTCGCGGCGCCAAAACTGTGTGGGTGAGATGTGCCGGCTCTTCACAGGAGCGTGCGACCGTGATGCTACTGGGGGATTCAAGCGGGGTACGTTATACCCCCTTCGTAGTCTTCAAGATGAAGCCATCGAAAAACCCAGCCATTGTCAAGGAGAACAACGAAATACGATGTGGCTTTGGCACGCGAACGTGGCCAGAGATCAGGAAGCTGAAAGCTGAAACCGGTTTGCAGATTTACGCCAACGGCAAAGGTACGCTTCTTTTTTTTACTTGCTCAAAAAGATTTATCTCATTTTCTTTATTATTATTGTTTTTCTTTTTAGGCTGGAGGAACAGTGATCTTTCGCTAAGGTTCCTACATTTTCACTTTGGTCACCGCACGTCGCATGCAGAGCCCGTGCTGCTCCTCTGGGATGACTTCAGCGGCCACTGGACCGCTGAAGTGCTGGCTTACGCTGCATCTATTAGGGTGGTGCTGCTGAAGGTGCCTCCCCATGCTACGTCTGTTTGCCAGCCTGCAGACGTAGCATGGAATCATCTGTTCAAGACTTGGCTGCGCAGGTTTTGGCTCGAGGACATCCAGCGGCAACTGATGCAGCCGCGCGACGCGGAAGCCAAGTTTAAGCTGACTCCACCAGGTCGCGCCGGGATGTGCCATTGGAATCGCGCTAGTTGGGAGAGCCTGAGCTCCGACACCATCGCGAATGAATACAAGAAATGCGACTTACACCTCAACGAGGAGTGCCTCGCCGCCGCGTCGCTGGTGGCAGAGCTGCGGAACCTATCGCTAGTAGGGCCAGTGGCCAAGGCGGTCGACCAAACTCAAGACTTCGACCGCAATGTCATTCTTGGTGTAGCTTTCTTCTACAATACATATTTTGATGCACATCGTTTTTAAAGGTATGTTTTCTGTTGTGAACATCATGTGCAGCTTTCTACATGCAAATACGGTATTCGTCTCATAAATCGTCTTGACTAAAAAATAAGTCGTTGTGCAAAAAATATGCATTTCGCCTTGCCGTCCACTGGTCAGCACCACAGACACCTACCTGCCCACGGACGAAATGATGGCCAAACTACCCACGCTACCTGCGCTCTGAGACGCTGTCCTGATGATCAAGGTCGGCGAGCCACTGACAGACTGTAGGATTGTACATAAAGCTTCTATCGGTGCGTGAGGGCTACACTGTCCTGAAGGAGAGGCTGAAGCGTTTGACACCGCTGTGATATCGCCTGCCGACGACGCTATCTACGTCAAATCGACGGTAAACGCGCGCCAACACGAGTACAAGCGCTTTTCGGAGGACGGGCCTGGCGTCTATGCTCCCGGCGTCTACGGTCCTGGTGTGGGCGGCTGTGGCGCTTGGCTTAGGCGCCAAAGCAAACGGACTCCCATATTCCTGCATGTCAATAGGGTAAAAACGCCTAATCCGATCCACAGAGCTACTGCAAGGCGTGTTAGGGCCACAGTAAAAAGGTACCAGTTATTGTAATAGACCGCAACCTCGGCAGGAGCAGCCTCCCTTGCATGCTTACTAGAATTTTCCGAGTAAGCAGAGGTCAAAGCCACGGAAGCGTATCGAAGTGTAGGAAATCGGCCTTTAAGCGCACTGCGCAGCTCGTAGATGTACAAACACGGGTGGGACTCAGCATATTGCCCAACAAAATTGACACACGGCCATCTAGCTGTTCGCTGCTTTCTTTAATTTGAAACCAACCATGCCATCTCTGCACCGAGCACGCCGACACGCCTAGAACACTGTCCGCGTTGACAATTTCTACATCATAGGCATGAACAAGGGTAACAGGCTAACGAAGATCGCCCGATTACGTGATTGCACGCCAGCACAGTGATGATTTAGTGACTTGAAATACTGTAACGAATGGCGGGAGCTGCAGCCGCCATTCGTTAAAAGAGCTCGACAAATCGCTTGCTATATCTCTACTCGTCTTTCAACTCGCGAAACCTGCTCAAACTGTTATTCGCTCCCTGATTATTTGTGTTGAGCTCTGGTATAAACCGTCACAAAATGGCTAGTCCACGCCAAAATGCGTGAAATCTACAATATAATACTGCATATGTGCATATAATATCTAACTTAGATGACTTCCCTCTCCTCGCGTTGCGCACTCGTACTCGCTCCGGTTCTTACGGTGATGACAGCCGAGTCAAGCACGTTATCCAAGCACACTTTCCAGAATCAGCAACTGCTTTGAGTTCGTCGCGTCGATTGGCGTGCAATACCACGACAAAGCAGTCATGCGCCTGGTACGAAGGCCAGACAAATGTGTACGTACTGAAAGAATCGCAGAAATATGAACCCTCCGCTACCACCGATTTCATTATTCATAATTATCAAGTCATGAGGTTCCTTGCTTGGGGAGCAAGGTGCCGAGTGGCAACCCCAAGGGATGGTGGGCGAACAACGTGATCAAATGCTGAGAGCCGCCTGATGGCGCTCCTCCCTCGTCCGGGCCGAGTTCCGCTCCCATCGTTCTCCATCTGTGAGTGAGCTTGGGCGATGACCTGCAGACGCTAAACGGCCTCGAAGTTTATTCCTGTGACACGAATGTTGGTAAGAACTCCTGAAGTGTGGGCATTTGACAAACCTTCTGCATCCGGAAAGTCCGTCTATCGCCCATCGCCAGCTCCGCTACAGACTAATTACCGTAGGCAGCGTAGCTCCCTTCGATAGGTAAGGTTTTAAACAGGTCACCTGCAGATCTGGTCACGTTAGGGTCGCATATGATGTAAGTAGGACCAAACTCAAAATATGGCGTGTTTTCAGCTTGGGCCCCTCCTCGATGTGGGGTCCTAACCAGATCTCGCCAAAACGCGTCAACTATAGAAATCTCTAAACCCTGATAATAGATTATTCTCAAGCCCGTCATCAGAAACTAAGACGGGTCGCATCGTGAGCACCAGATGATGGGTTTCCATTTCTTAGGATGGAATTCGTCATGAGGGTATACTAGTGCACTTTGGGATGTGTTGTGTCGCTTCCAAAGGAAATGTAGAAGTGATATGTGCTGAGCAGTTCCTTGGTTTGCACTAGCTGCTCTTGTCCTATGCATGCTCTTGGAGGTGACCACTCTGGTGGCACAAACCGTCCGTACTTGCTGCGTCTGCATAACAGTCCATACTTCATCAGTTGAGCAACCGTCCTTACTTGCTGCAGCTGTTCATCTTCTGCAGAGTGTGAGTGTTGCTGGGCTAGACCCCAGCAACGGCTACACAGTGTAGCACCAGCTACAACACTTCCCCCTCCAAAAGCTCCTTCAATATAAAGCCGTACAACTTACGGTCAGCTGCGATTCACCACGATGCACGAAACTAGTCCAGCTGTAGCGCCTTGCGTAGCGCTTTCACAGGTGGGTTCTTGCCGTGCTTGCGGACGAAAGCCTTCATGGCCACTGGAACGTCCTGCAAGAGAGAGGTTGAGTGCATGGCTACTGCAGCCATTGCAGAAAATTGGATGAGTTGCCTCCAGGATTGCCCACGCATTCTGCATCACGGGTGCGTTGTCGGTCGTCACAGACACCACAACGTCTTTACCGGCGGCTTTGTTGATCTCGTCAACCCCCTCACTAATCTTGCTCGCCACGTACTCAGCCGTTTGCTCATCTTCACCACACGTCCTCGTACACCAAAGTAGGGGCCGCATCAACAGCGACACTACGACATAGTTGATCACCTTCTCTTTATTAACGCTCGTCCATCCGTCCGAAATCAAGCCCAACGTTGGCTCGTCATGCAGGCGGGCGATCAACTCTGCTTTCTCGCGATCATACTCTTCCGTGAGGAGGCGCCCTGCAAGTGCTTTCCGATTCGGCAAATACTTCTCCATGTCCGGCTGCAGGACCGTGAGCGCCCGGCTCATACGAGGCACTTCGATGGTGCGAAACGGCAAGCCAGCAGCGTAGAAGCCCCTAGCAATCTCCGCTTGGAAGCGGTCCTTGTCGGCATTGCTGACGCCGCTGGAAAATGGCGTGGTCGCCTGCGACTGGGACAGCGATATCTCAGTCACGACCGATTCTTCTGTCGCAGGGGGAGACCGAGGGTTGGCCGGCTTCTTCCGTTTTTAACGCTTGCGCTTAACCTTTGTAGCGGGTTCTCCGTACCGACTCCGCTTCGTTCGCTCAGCATTCGACAGCTGCGCGCACGATGACAGGTGTCGGAGCATGTTGCGGCTTGGCTGGCACTTAGAAAGTGTGGCGGAGCAGTGCCGGCAGGTCGCATCCGGATACGTGCCCTCCACCACGACGGTGAACTCGTCCCAGGCGGGGTGTCTGCGTGGCATGGTGCTGATGGGGCGGTGAGGTTGGTGCAGCGACGAAGTGGTGAAGCGGAGCGATGGAGCTGGCGAGGAGCGGCGAGCAGCTGGAGCTGGATGGTGCCGGTGACTCGGTGCGAGGCCGAAGGGTAAGCGATGGTGGGGCACTGGTAGCTGGGAAGCCGATTGGGAAATGAGGAGCTGGAGCACTCGCGCGGACGCCTTCGGCCACGCTTCTCCAGCCGCAACCACGTATTTGCTGGAACGTGTGTCGAACCGCCCAGTCAACACGATGACAGGTATGGAATCGCGCCTTCGACGCGGCGCGCCAACGAACTACATCGCGCGCGGTGTCAGGACGATAGCGCCTGAGTTGCACGAGAAGCGTGTATCCAGCCGTGGAAGGCTGTCGTCACTAGCTGCTGCTCGTTGTAAAATTCCATGTCAGCTTTCGTTTATTTTTACATTCATCTCGGTTAAGTTAACCCTCTCGTTTTGCTGTGCATTTTTGCATTTACGCTGTATCAATGGCATCAATGCCATAGTTGCACTAATGCCATCAAGGCCACGATTGCATTTGCCCATCCCTATCGTGCTGCCTTTAGAAAAACTGGTTGTGTGTACTGGTACGCTCTTTGCTCCACAGTAACCGGGTTACTCGAAGGTGATTGGCTCAAATGATTTTGAGGGCAGTTGTGGAAATTGGCCGTGATTATGAGGGAAGTTCTGATAAATATCCTACCTGACGCCTACCCGCTCCGTGAATGGGTGCAGCACCCGCTCAGTAGTTTTTTACATACCATCTTCGGCACAAAAGTCTCAGTCCCTACCGCCTCCTGTCTCCAATTGAAGTCCACCTGCCGTGTATTCAAAAATCCAACTTCGAAGCGCGGTGGCTTCAGGTATTCCCCTAGGCATTAGCTTAACATCGTTGATGCGGCCTTTGGTTACTTGCAGCAGCTGATCCGAAAGCTTTTCACAGATCATGTCCGACACCAGTTTTGTCGTCTTTCGTCGCCCGGTACTAATGGGCTGGCGACGAGATAAAATAAATTATTTGAAATATTTTGAAATATTACATTCTTTTTTTTACAAATATAGTTTTAATTTGTAAAACAATTTTAATGTAATGTTTCAAAAAATTTCAAATAATTTAGTTTATTTTTATAAACCTAATTTCCATGTTAGCCAAGTTTCAGCAGCTTTTGCTAAGAAAAATGTATTTGGTTATTTAGGAATGGTTTATGCAATGTTATCTATCGGTTTATTAGGTTCTTATTTACTTTAGGATTTATTTTATTATTTGTAATGGGTGGTGTTACTGGTGTAGCTATGTCAAATTCAGGTTTAGATATTGCATTACATGATACTTATTATATTGTAGGACACTTTCATTACATAGAAACCCTTGGATTTACGGTGATAACGATTTATATTCGTTATTTGTTGTTACTAATGCCAGCATTTTCTTTTCTGTAGTTTTAATTTGTAAAAAAACATGTTAATGTATTTTTTGTAATTGAAGTAATTTATATTTTTTCCCCTTTAAAAGGAAACTAACTTTAAAACCTTGTAGTATTTTTAAAAAAAGTGTTTTTAACTAAAAAAAATAAAACTAATTAAAAAAATAATAGGTAAATAACCAAAATTATTCCGCTCGATGATTACGCGCATCCAGGAGATCACCATGGAGGAGAACGGAGGCCACCCCATGATCTACGGCATCGACTCCATCCACGGCGCCAGCTACGTCGCGGGTGCCATGCTTTTCCCCCACGAAATCAACACAACAGCGGTGCGAGTTTCAACCCGGACCTGGTTCATGAGGTTGGCCAGATAACTGCTCGTGATACGGAAGCGGCCGGCATCCCGTGGATTTTTGGGCCCATTCTCGACATTTCCCAAAACACGCTTTGGGCCCGCACGTACGAGACGTTTGGCGAGGACCCGTACCTCGCTTCGGTCATGGGTGCGGCTTACGTCCGCGGCCTGCAGAGCTACAACCAGACAGCTGCGTGTGTCAAGCACTTCATCGGTTCCCACGGGCCATGACCGTGACAACGTCCTGATGAGTGACTTCGATCTGTTGAACTACTTCATGCCGCCGTTCATGGCTGCGTTTGAGGCTGGTGCTCACTCTGTGGTGGAGAACTACATCTCTCCCAACGGCAACCCGGTCGTGGCGCCTCGGTACTCGGGTAGTGTTGGTTCGCTGGAGCCTCCGTGGTCGGGTAGTCCTCGGTGGTGGGGTAGTTCTCGTTCACCGGCGCCTCGGTACTCGAGTACTCGTGGTTCGCTGGCGCTTCGGTACTCGGGTAGTGTTGGTTGGCGGGGGCCTCGGTACTCGGGTAATCCTCGTTCGCTGGAGCCTCGGTGGTCGGTAGTGCAGGAAACGATGGCGAGTGTCGTTATTCCCCACCAGCAGGTTTTGGAGGTCGCCTCGATCGGTAATACGTGTAATGGGCCCCATCAGCTCGTGGATAGCTTCAGGGATAGCCTCAAAGTCAAGGTTGAGGCAATGGCTCGCCACGCCGCCAAAGTTCCAGAACCGCTCTTCCATTTCATCATCGCTCATGTCTCTTTGCCCGTGCATCGGCCTGTCGGCTCGCCCAGCACGACCGGGCGCTACCATACCACTCAAACGACCCGTGTCAAGTCTCGACAGCTCGATCCGCCGGTAACGCTTGGCCTACACGCTGTCCGTCGTCGTTTGCCCTGCCACCCGCGATAGCTAGTCGAGTCGGCAACCCGCTGCGCGCACCTGTCCGTACAGTTGGCACGCGTGCGCGAGGCAACTTGTTGCTAAACCCGGGCCATACTGGGAATCGATGCTGGCCCGGGTACCCCGGCGGTGGCTTGGTGACGATGATGGCCCGGGTTTGCAACGTCGCTGTGAGGCATACCATCGCAAGTCGGCAGGCGTCCAGAGCGCGCGAAGTGGCGAGCAAGACGAGCTACGAGGCGCTAAAGGGTAGTCTAGCACAGCGGCAGCTAATTGGAGCTCTCCGAGACTCGAAGTTCGAGTGCCCATGGTGGCATCCAGTAAGTGCACCTATCCTTTCTGACTTCGCTCAACCACCGATCGTTCGGGTATGTGAACACCACGATTTGTGGACATTTAACCTTCGGCGGGCCATCACACAAGTACAGCACTTTCTCCGTCTCCTTCTTCTTATCGATGTTCGTCACATCAGCCAGATCCACGCCTGACAACCGATACCCGATATTATAGTTTCTAGCAGTTGCGGCCCGGCCTTTGCATACACTACTGGGTCTTTATCAGGTTCAAAGAGAGTGAGTGATCTTGCAGACTGTTCCAGTTTTCGAGTAGGATGACGTGACTATGGCCCATTCCGGATGAGCCTTGCGGAAACGATCGAAGAAGTAGGCATAGAAGACAGACTTGCCAATTCCTGGGGCAATAAGCAGTCAGTCAATCGCTCAAGTTTAGAAGCTTGAGCGAGTACAGTAGCTTACCTGGTCACGCACTCTTTCCCCTCCAGCAGCAGCTTTTCGACAAGCATGTAGTAAACGCCATAGCATTCGCGCACGAAAAAGAAGTCGCCGCCTTGGTAGGGTTGCACGAATGGTAGATCGTGCGGCATCTTGTGTGCGTATCCCACCGGGGCACCACTTCTCGGGCCGATCATCGCAGGGATACTTTCCTTCTCCGAATCCCCCTCGTCGTCCTCCTCCTCATAGTCGTTGGTAGTGGCCGAGCTTTGGCGTTTTCGCTTTCCTCGCGCCATATCGAATGTGTAAGTTTCTTTCAGGAATGCACTCGTATACGATCGCTGGCGTTACTGTCAAAATGGCCGTCACTTCGACCAGTACATTTTCCCTTGTGTACTGACTTAAGCTCCCCCTATTCCACGTGGTCCACACCATCCCGCCTCGCACTTCGTCGAAATTCGCGCCAAACCGTTACCCGCCTCCATCACCAGATCCATACAAAAGGCGGCAAAGGCGCAAGTCGCAGTCCCTCACCCATGGCCGAGTCCAGCAGCGCGAGCGCCAGCCCGAGCCCGAGCAGCGCCAGCCCCAGCGCCAGCAGCAGCAACAGCAGCAGCGCCGCCGCCTCCCCCTCCCCCTCCGCTCCCGCCCCCCCCAAGCCCGACGCCGACGACGCGCAGCAGCAGGAGGAAGAGCAAGAGCAAGACGACGACGCGTCCATGGACGGCGGCGAGTCCGTCGAGGACAACGAGGCGGCGGACGATGACGCCGACGACGTGGAAGCCGCCGCCGAGGACGCCAAGAAGTCCCTCCTCTCCAAGGAGGAGCGCGAGGCGCTGCGCCGCGAGGAAGAAGCCGTGCTCCAGGAGCAGCGCGACCGCCAGAGCAAGTCGCTGGACCTGGTGAAGCAGTCGCTGGCGCAGGACGCCGACTGGGGCGCCAAGAGCGCGCGCGAGAAGAAGATGGCCTTCCTCATGGCGCAGTCGGACGTGTTCACGTCCTTCCTCATGGGCGGCAGCAGCGCCGTGGGCAAGGAGATGTCCCGCAATAAGGCGGCCAAGGAGGCCGCGGCCGGCTCGCGCCGCGGCAAAGGCAGCAAGCAGGCGGACGCGCAGGCGCTGCAGGACATGGATGACGCGCGCTACACGCGCATCACGCAGCAGCCGTCCATCATCAAGTTCGGCACCATGAAGCCCTACCAGCTCGAGGGGCTGAACTGGATGATCCGCCTCCACGACTCGGGCGTGAACGGCATCCTGGCCGACGAGATGGGGCTGGGCAAGACGCTGCAGAGCATCTCGCTGCTGGCCTATCTGAGGGAGGCGCGCGGCATTGAAGGCCCGCACATTATCATCGTGCCCAAGAGCACAGTGGGCAACTGGATGCGCGAGCTCAAGCGGTGGTGCCCCTCCATCAAGGCCTTCAAGTTCATGGGCAGCAAGGACGAGCGCGCCCTGCAGAGGGAGACGGTCATCAAGCAGGACTTCGACGCGCTCGTGCTGTCGTACGAGGTGGCGATCATCGAGAAGGCCATCTTGCAGAAGATCCGGTGGCGATACCTGCTGATTGACGAGGCCCATAGAGTCAAGAACGAGAACTCGAAGCTCTCGAGGGTCGTGCGGGAGTTCAAGGTCGAGCACCGACTGCTGATCACCGGCACGCCGCTGCAGAACAACCTGCACGAGCTCTGGGCGCTGCTCAACTTCTTGCTGCCCGACGTGTTCTCCGACTCGGAGGACTTTGACTCGTGGTTCAACGTGGACGAGCAGGAAGGACAGGAGAACGTCATCAAGAAGCTGCACACGATCCTGCGTCCGTTCCTGCTGCGTCGCCTGAAGTCGGACGTGGAGCACTCGCTGCCGCCCAAGATCGAGACCAAGCTTTACGTGGGTCTGTCCGAGATGCAGCGCGAGTGGTACATGCGCGTACTGCACCGTGACGCCACGCACCTAAACGCTATCGGCGGTAGTGACCGTGTTCGTCTGCTGAACATCCTGATGCAGCTGCGTAAGGTGTGCAACCACCCGTACCTGTTCGAGGGCGCTGAGCCCGGCCCGCCGTACCAGGAAGGACCGCACCTGTGGGAGAACTGTGGTAAAATGACGCTGCTACACAAGCTTTTGCCCAAGCTCCAGGCCCAGGGCTCGCGCGTGCTTATTTTCTGCCAGATGACGTCGATGATGGATATTCTGGAGGACTACATGCGCTACTTCGGCCACGACTACTGCCGACTGGATGGTTCCACCAAGGGTGAGGACCGTGACAACATGATGGAGGAATTCAACGCGCCGGGCAGCTCCAAGTTCTGCTTCTTGCTGAGTACGCGTGCTGGTGGTCTGGGTATCAACTTGGCCACGGCAGACATCGTTATTCTGTTTGACTCGGACTGGAACCCCCAGGTGGATCTGCAGGCTATGGATCGTGCTCATCGTATCGGACAGACCAAGATCGTGCGTGTGTTCCGTTTCATCACGGATGGCACGGTCGAGGAGAAGATTGTGGAGCGTGCCGAGCGAAAGCTGTACCTTGATGCTGCTATCATTCAGCAGGGCCGTCTTGCGCAACAGAACCGGAAGCTTTCCAAGGATGAGCTGATGACCATGGTGCGCTTCGGTGCTGACGAAATCTTTAACGCGCGTGGATCCATGATCACGGACGACGATATCGACGCCATTCTTGCTCGTGGCGAAGAGCGTACGGAGGCCATGAAGGATAAGATTAATGCTGATATGCAGCACAACCTGGCGAACTTCTCGTTGTCCGGCGACAACGGTAATGCTAGCGTCTCCAGTCTCTACGAGTTTGAGGGCGAGGTGTTCTCGAAGGATACGAACAACGGAGATATTCTGCCGTCCACGTTCATCGCTCTTCCTCAGCGTGAGCGCAAGTCGAACTACAACGAGGACGAGTACTACCGCCAGCAGGCTGGTTTATCGAAGCCCAAGAAGCCGAAGAAATCTGGATCTGACGCAGCGAAGGTGCCCGTCGTACACGACTATCAGTTCTTCCAGCAGGAGCGTATGGTGGCGTTGCTTACGAAGAAAACCCAGGTTGAGAACCGTCGGAAGGAGCTAACCCGGTTGATCAAGGAGGCCAAGGCCGATGAAACGCGCGCTAAGTCGCGGAAGCCGAAGCAGGGTGAGGGTGACGAGTCTGCCGAGAACTCTGCTGAAGAGGGTGAAGGCGACGATGCGCGCTCTGCTGCCCTTGAAAAGGAGCTGAACGAGACCGAGATGGATGCTGCTGATGTTAAGGAGCTGGAAGCCTTGGAGAAGGAGGGTTTCGGTGACTGGACTCGTCGCGACTTGAAGCAGTTTATCAACAGTTGCGAGCGCTACGGTCGTGCTGACAAGACCCGTGTGTGCGAAGAGGTCTCAGTCGTTCTTGGAAAGGATCCTGCTCAGGTGGAGAGATACTACGACACATTCTGGTCCCGCTACACGGAGCTGAAGGACCACGCGAAGTACATCGAGAAGATCGAGCGTGGCGAAAAGCGTCTGGAGCGCAATGAAGTGGTGAAGCAGGCGCTCGCGCGTAAGTGCAGCCGATACAGCCACCCGCTGCGTGACATGCGCCTCCACTACCCGGCCGGCTACAAGAGCAAGGGTTACATTCTGGAGGAAGATGTGTTCCTTGTCGTAATGATGAACAAGTATGGCCCGCTAGAGCACTGGGGCGAGATCCGTGACGAGATTCGCAAGGCCTGGCAGTTCCGGTTCGACTGGTTCTTCAAGTCGCGCACCATCGGTGAACTGCAGAAGCGCGGAGAGGTGCTTACGCGCATGATCGAGCGCGAGAACGACGAGCTCAAGAGCCGCGGCACCAAGGACGAGGAGGACCTCGCGAAGAAGGCGAAAAAGAGCTCGAGCTCCTCTTCCAAGTCCAAGAGTAAGATCAGCAGCAGTAGCAGCCGCAGCAAGACGTCGAGCTCGAGCTCGAGCAAGAAGCGCAGCAGCTCGTCCAAGTCGTCTTCATCGTCTTCAGCCAAGAAGCAGCGCTCCAGTTAGTAGAGATGCCCCGAAGCAGGGTCGTAACTCCTGTTTATTTTTCAAGAGTTCGTTTATACTTACGTGAATGCGTTCTTGTGAATGACATGTAAACTGATGCAAACGATGGAAGAATTGTGTAGAACTCATGATACTTAGCCACTTGCAAATCAAAATCTATCATTCTGGAATTCATTCAGCAATTTGTCGCCGCCCAGTGGCAAGCCTCCGTGGCACTTGATTGAGACAATGGTGCGTTTCGGGACGCACCTCGTGCCAGGCGCGACTTTATTAGTGGATACGCTTCTCCGCAACTACATGTACCGGACCAGCTCGCAAACATGATCCACGCCGTCGTCTGCTGGCAGCTGATGCGCACAAGGCACTTGTCTTCTCCTTGGTTTTGATCCAGCTCGAGCTATCCCGGTACTTTGACTGCTGCTGTTCAGACCGAAAGCAGCAGTATCATCAGCCACCTTGCGTACGTTCCAGCCGTAGAACTGCCCTCCTAAATTCCTGAGCTTTCCGGACCTATTAGCTACTGATCTGGGTGGTTAACTCCGAAAGTGGCTGCGAAGACGCGGTAAACGGTGCGGCGCGGACTTCATTGCGCCAGGGCTTCAGGACATATAGTTTCATGCAGAGCGTTCCACTACTGACGTGGCAAACCATGAACTGGTGGATAGAGTTTCCTTGCAACAAACCTGCAACTCAAATTGCATGTACCTGGTGTTAAACATGTTGGGTTTGCTATGCTCCAAGTTGAAGTTGCGACCTTTGGTTGACCAATCCGCAGCGCCCATCACGTGCAACACCAACAAATGAGAAGAAGAAGGCCAATCCGTAGTAGTACAAGAGAAATCTATTCACACGAAAGGCAAAAACCACCTCTTACTCGCTACTGCACCTTACTTCTCGCGGCGTGAGTCGTACTCGGCCTGGATCTCCTCGGCCGACTTGCCCGACGTCTCCGGCACGAGGTTGAGCGCCAGCAGGTAGAAGATCGCCAGCAGTACCACGAACGGCACGTACGCGTAGTCGTTGAGCGCGTCCGAGATGTACGGGTACGACACGCCCACGATGAGGTTGCAGAGCCAGTTGATGCCGATGCAGAGCGACGACGCGCTGGCGCGGATCGAGTCCGGGAAGATGTCGGCCGTCATGACCCACACGAGCGGCCCGAGCGTCACGCCGAACACGATCACGTACAGCGCCGTGAACACGATGGAGAGCGCCGACACGTCCACGATGAAGGCCACCGTCATACCGATGGACATGACCACCATGCCCGCCAGGCCCCAGAGGATCATGATGCGCGCGCCGAAGCGGTTGGCCAGCACGCCCGTGAAGAAGGCGGGAAAGATGTTGATGAAGTCGATGATGAGCGTGCCCACGCGCGAGTCCGAGATGCCCGCGTCCGAGAAGATGCTGCCCGAGTAGTAGAAGACGGCGTTGATGCCCGAGAGCTGCTGCGAGCACGAGAGCAGGATGCCGCCCAGCAGCTGCAGGCGGTAGCGCGGGTTGAACATGGACTCCTTCTGGGGCGCCGCGAGCCCGGCCTCGGCCGTCTCGGGCTTCTTGCTCACCTCGAGCCACGACAGTGCCGTCTGCACGTGCTCCTCGCCGTAGAGCCGCGCGATGACCTGCTTGGCCTCGTCGGTGCGGCCCTGCGTGAGCAGCCACGCCGGACTCTCCACGCACATGGTCGGCGCCAGCAGCAGGTAGACGGCGCCCAGAATGACGGGAAAGGCCGCCAGGTAGCGCCAGCCGGAGCTCGTGTTGGCGAAGAAGAAGGCGATGGCCGGGAACAAGATGCCGATGGTCGTGAAGATCTGCAGCCCCAGGCCCAGCGTGTTGCGCATGTGCGGCGGCGACAGCTCGTTCACGTAGCTGCCGATGGTGGCGGTGGCCGTGCCCGAGGCGAGGCCGGCGATGAGGCGGCCGATCGAGAAGATCCAAATGTTGGACACGACGGTCTGCACGACGCCGCCCACGATGATGAAGATGCAGTTGCCCATGAGCGTCTTCTTGCGGCCGTACTTGTCGCTGAAGTGGCCGCAGCACAGCGAGCCCACCATGGCGCCGAAGATCCACGCGTTCACGGCGAACGTCCACTCGAGCTTGGTGTGGCCCGGGAACATGAGGCACGTACCCTCGGCCACGGGGCGCGCATTGCACTGGTCCGTGTCGTTGTACTGCGACAGGTTCATCTGCGAGGTGGACCAACCGCTCTGGAAGGGCTGGAGCCACGACAGCAGCGCGCTCGTGTACAGGATGGCGTTGGGCTTGATGAGGCGCGCGGCGGCCTTGTTGGCCTCGTCGAAGGTGTTCGCGGCGCCCTTGCCGGGGGAGTTGGCCACCGCGTAGTCAGCACTGTCGGCCATGGGTGCTTGGTTGGTGTAGCTTAGGACAGCGAGTGGTGTTGCTGTGGTTGCTGCTGCTGTTGCACTAGAAGGCAAAACAAACAATGAACTGACGGAGCAATAGCCAAGGCAGGCTTCGCGTTGAGGTACAGAACTGTACGGAGCTTCGGTCGGTGCGGTGCTGAGAGCCCGCCTATCGATCTGGTGAGCCCGTCGAGGTGGAACGGCTCAAGTGTACTTCACAAAGATATGCGACTTACGTTGAATCTCGGGGTCATCTGTTAACACAAAATGCACATTGCGTGAGCTAGGATACCACAAACTGCACCGCCATTTCCAGGCGTAGTCGGTTTGTCGTCCTTCCACATGGCTGAATGTCTCCCCTTGCCGCTGCCATTTGGTGCAGCAACTTGATACAATCGAGGATACAAACGAGTGTGTTTTTCTGCTGCCCCAATTGTGACTTCAGATCGAGAGCAGGGTTCGTGTTGGTAGCATTCGGTGGAGCCATACGGCCGCGGACGGTTGGTAGCAGTAGTAGAAGAGATTTTATTTGGACTACTATGATAGCCATTAAAATCCTAAAGAAGATTTCATCATCACCACTAATGGCGATTCTCATGGTAGCTGCATGCTGCTTACCCGTACTTGTCCTGGTTGTTCAAGGATTAATAGAAAACTGTCGATACAGTCCTCCATCAACTTGCCTTGTTCAACCGTTTGTGGACTCATCTTGTCCCTCCTTGCAATTACCTTCAACTGACGAACTCCCGTCACCCGGAACTCACGCAACTTTGCTCTACCGATGTTGGTTCTCCTTCAAAGATGAGCCTGTTGCGCACCATCCATTGCGTTGTGCTGCAAACGGTAGCTAAAATTCTCCAAAGACGTTTCAATGTGTCTTCATGCTTGGCCGTGCAAGACCCCGCCGTGAGGGCCACTCTCCTCTTCAGTGAGTCCGGGATCGGGGGAGCTTGCCGTGCTGCACAGTACTCTCGGTACCCGAGGAGGCCACTGTCGGTCACGTCAGCGCCACCCCAGTATCTAGCTAGCCATTTCCAGCATGCCACCGCGCACGGACATTCCCAGAAAATGTGACTCTGGGTTTCCTTTTCTTGGGTACACGCGCTTGTTTTCCTGCATGGATTGCTGTGTTGTCTCCCTTCAAAGAACAGGTTTAGCTGTCTGAGGGTCATTCTGTACACCGTCCACACTTGGTAGGGAGTTAGGGAATGGTCATGGCTCCATAACTGCTTGGGTCGTTGTTGCTGAAGCCCACATTGCCACTGGTCTTGTTTCGCCTGCGTCTCCAGTCTCTCTATGACCACGCCAATACCGCCTCGCAATTCTGTCCGAAATCGTTCGAAGGCTTGTCGTTTGAGCCCCTTTGATACATGTTTGTTCTTGATTCTCTCCTCCACAGTCCAAGGATACTGATGGAGGCTCGGATGTGCGTAAAATACTACGCCTTCAACTTGGGCCCACTTCTGTAAAGTCTGCGTAGTTTCTTCTGTGCAATTCTCCACTTCTATCTCCCAGTTGATGCCGTTGGGTAGTTGCCTGCAATTGAGTTGCCAGCTCGCCGTGCCTTGTGAGGTTGCTGCGCCTGAGAGATTCCCCGTTTTGGCCCTAGTCGCCACGACACATTGCGTAGCCATTGCGGCGGGTGCCTTAATTTGAATGGTGGATCGAGCCGACCTTCTAGCCAATCTCTCGGAGATAGTAAGATTACTATAATCGCCCACTTGCACATGGTTCTGTGACGGTGCCGACGCCCTTCATTTGATTCCTGCGCGACGCTAAACGAAAAACGCCCTTCAGCTTCTTTTCGAGGTTCAAGTTGATCGAGAGTACCATCCCTTATCCGTGAAAATCTTCTCCCGCTTAACAGAAATCTAGATGGTGCTGTCAACCATGGGTTATCACTTCCCTAGCCGCGAGGGCTCTACCTCATAATTCAGCTGAATCACGAACCTGCCATCAGTATCCTACCAACTAGTGCTCGCCTCTAGGATTGCTGCGTAATTGGTCTCCACTATTTCTTCTCGTTGCTTTACTTCTTCGTCCGCTGGCTGGAGCCATTCACCGATGAACTGCATTCCTGGCTCTACTCGCTGATTTTTTGCATTTGACGTTCTTGGCGAGACCGACTTGTTCGGGGCCTTGAGTACCCAGAACTTCCAGGCTTGCAGGTAAAGATCGGGTTTTTGAGTCAGCCATAGCAATGCATGTTTCGCTTGCTGTGTTTTCACCGCTAACGGGATAGACACCAAGCCGATTCCTCCTGCCTTTCTTGGTAGAAACACTAACCCAGGGTTAATCTTGTGTTTTGCTCCACTCGTTTCCACGTGCGCTTGCCAAAGAAATTTTTTCTGAAGGCACTGAAGTTTTTTCTCCGCCCACTTTGGTAGTTGGAACGCTGCAGAAGTGAAAGTCACGGCTGGTAGCACCATCGCATTTAGTATTGCCACTCTGTCTTCTACCGAGGTAGCTACCCTGCACGCGGTGGCCAAACGTCTTTGTATTTTGCGAATTCGATCTGCCCAATTCACATCGCGCATCTCCGCAGTCCCTACTTGATACCCCAGATACCGGGTCGTCTCTCCATGTCTGAGAACTGGGATACCCAAAATCGTCTTTCTGTACTCGACGGCGATG